TTTTGGTATTTTTTGACTTTATTTCTTTGGAAAATAGAATATTTTATTAGAAGAAGCTAATTTTATATTTTTTGGCCATCTGGTTTCAATTTTTGAAGACTCGAATTTAAAAAAAAATTGGTGATGAGATCTGACCATTTTATTTTACCATTTTTTGGCAGTTTTTTACCACATTTCTCTGGTAAAAAATGGTATTTGTCTAGAAAAAGCTCTTTTTATGTTTTTTGATACAAGGTGCTTTTTCTTTTCCCAAATTTAAGATTTTTTTACTTTTCTTCAGGATGCATTGTTTTGAAGTTTAAAAAGTGTTTTATCTTTATCTTCTGAACAGATGAAGATATTAAACCAGATTATGACGTCACAATGTATTAATAAACTGCTAATCCACCTGAAAAAAATTAGTCTCAATTCAAGCCATTGGGGGTGTGGATATAAGGTATGCTGGTTATATTTTGCACTGAATTTATTTTGTCCACAAATTATCTCTTGACTTTTTTTAAAAGCTTTTACTGTTTTAGGTGCAAATTAGCAATTGTAATTATTTCTATGACAACTTTAGCTTCTTGTATTTAAACAATGTCGTCTTTATTCAAAATAAAATGTGTGTTTCAAGACTGATATAAAAAAATATTTTTACAGTGGATTTTATAGTTTTTGAGGAAAATATCACCCATATGCCTCATATCTGCGCCATTGATTTGAGCTGGGACTTAATTTTTTCAAGTTGAATGTCACTTGATTTGCGCATTTTTCATTTGGTTTAGAGAGCTTTAGAAATAACATTTCTTTTTGAAATTTTCAACACCCTTTGTCTCAACAACGAAGACTGCAGGGATATTTGTATAAGCAAATATATAACACCCTGTATTCGTAAGTTTTAACGATTTCCTAAATTTTCACAACAATACGTAATAAATCAACACCCACTTTAGAAATAATCGTTAATAAATAATCAGCTGGTTGAAATTGTTGCTGGTAATATACGATCGAATTTAAGGACGAATGCTTATGCAACATTTTAGATTTTAAGTACATTAATTAATTTATTTTAACGCATCTAGAAAACAATCAAGCACTTTTAGTATATCTAAAGTACCTACCTGTCAAAAGCCTGTGAATAATCCTAAAAATGAAATTAAACGATTAAAGCCTCATGTTGGGCAGTATATTTCGGCAACTCTATTTTCTGCAGATTATCTCGGTACTGAGAATTAACAATACTTCTTGTTAACGCAGATTGCATTTGCGCTGGATAAATTCAACACTTAGCTGCAATCTAACATAACAATCTACAAGTGACATGCTACCTTAACACTTCATTTATTATTTTGAGATTCAGAATAAGATATTATTTTCAATTCTAATGCGTACCGACTAGATGTCTAATTTTGTTAGGATTGATATGCTTTACTTTGACCCAGATTCCATGTTGACACCTCAAATCGACTGAGCACCTACACTAAACAAAAAATATGGGTCTCGGAAAAGGATTATTCTAATAATTTGGTCGAAGGATAAACGCGCGTTAATGCGACGTCTGCATACAAAAGTAAAATTGAATGCTACTCTAGTAGGTACACGAAATAGCTTTGATTTCTATTTACTTACAGTTTTAATAAACGTACAAATACATACTTAGTTGTTTTTCCAGACGCAAAAGAAAACTGATATGCAATTGGCATTTGGCAATTCGTTCCAAAAACCAAAAACCTCAATTTTCTTCTTCTTCATCTTACGTCGAAACCTTAGAAAACTTCTTGAATATTTGAGGTTATGTTTGTTTACACTTCACACAATATTTAAATCTAAATTAGGATATTTATTAATACATACAGCATATAACAGAGCAGGTGATATATCAAGAATTTTACCCAATTACTCTTTCTCTCCCGTTTGTACTTTAATTTCCTGTAGGTAATACATCTCAAAATATTCATAGCTTTGTCGGTTCCATACATCCATATGCAGGGAAATGAATGCAAATTTGGTGGACGATAAAATATAAGCTTTGTTCGTAAACCTACACAACGTGCAGTGTAGTGTAGTGTAGTGGAATTCAGTGTTACACTAAAATAATAATTGTGCACCACTTTTAGAGAAAACATTTGGCTGTTCGTTAATTCAATTTGGGTAAACTTAAACTGGCATAACCTAATTGTAAATAATGGAGAAAATATTTGTGATGAGTGAATTATTTAGTGACTCTGGAAGCGAATCGGAATCAGATGATGAAGATTACCTTCGTAAAAAAAGAAAAATTCATGTTTTATTGGAGACCTGTTTCCAAAAAAATAAAAGAAAGTGCATTACAAATTTTATAGAACTTGTTCGAAACTGTGAGACAGACGAATTTATCAGCCATTTCAGAGTAAAATCAAATATTGCCAAATTTTTAATTATCTATCTAAAATATCTACCAAAATGTGACGTTTGTGATAAAAGTTTCATTTTCGCGCAACAAATATACTACACTACACTTTTACACCACCTTGTTAGCCAGTGTAGTAATGTCTGCAGTACTATTTACACTGGACTTTTCGAACACTTGGATTATACCTGCACTTGGTTACACTGCAATAAACGAACAACGTATTACTACACTAGTGCAGCAGTGGAAGGTTTACGAACAAAGCTATAAAAAAGTATGACGATTTTCTGCTATCAACCATGGATCGATTGTCTTTTGTTTTTGAGATAGTTTTTGTATGTCAAATTTAATGTTAACCATATCTTTTCTCAAAAACAATGTATTGAATTGAAAATGTTAAGTTTTTGGACGTGCTTAATAGCGTTGTTATTTTTTGAGTATCTACTAGAGAGCGCTAGTTACAATAGCTCACAGTGACATTTTATGAAATAACTCTTTGAGGTTAGGTTTTTTAGAGTGTATGTCTTGTATTGAAATGTAAACATTCGTTTCGCACAAAAAAGGTACCCATTCCTGTTAAATTCACCGTTTTTGAGAAAACCAATTGATTCTTCCAAAGTCAACTAGCTTTTGTCCTTAACATACAGAGTGTCTGCGGATTGTAGGCGATACTTCGAGGGTAGCTTCTTTTACATAAAAGTAGGTTAATTTGGATAAATTTACCTTGTTACAATTTTTTAAAATGTAGCAGGCATGCAAAAAAAGTTTTTTATTTCATATAATGTTAATAATGTAAGACAGTATTCTATGGACGGAGCCAAAGCCGACTTTCTGTGCGTTGTAGCTGTTCCAACATGAACAGCAAAAGCGGCAGCGATTTGCTCTAAGTCACGTGACCTAGGATACAAATTGCGCAGCATTGATTTTAAAAGAAACTTTCTGATTATGAAATTGACTCTTTTTTAGTAGTAACACCACAATTAAGAAAAATACTGTCAAATCTATATGTAAAATGGGCAATAATACTTAATATCACGTAATAGATATGAGAAATAGCGCGTGCTAGACTTGCAAATTCATCAAGTCACGTGACGTGAGGCTAGTTTCGTCCCATTTTACATCTTGACCCCTACCCTCTCTCTCTACATTCCATCCATAATTTAGTGTCAAAACTATGTGCAAGGCATGCGCTTTAAGAAAAATAACCTTAAAAAAGTTGTCAAAATGTCACTGAGATAGTAGGTAGCGCCCTTTAGAAGATGGTTGAAATTACCTTTACCAAAATTACCTTTAAATTCAATGTAATACATTATTTTTTGGAAAATATGTCGCTATAATTTGATTTAAAAAATCGTATTTAAGCTTACCTATGGTTTATAGAAAAAATCGTCTTATTATTTGATGTTCGATCATACATAATTTTTTTTTCTTACTTCTACAATATAGAAAAGAATAAAGTAAAATTTACATAAATTTTAGTCAATAAGACAATTTTTTAAAGGTAAAAAAAGTTGTAAACATATCAATTTCCATTTTAAATCAGATAGCATCAACAAATTCGCAATTCTGCTTATTTTACAGAGAAATATTGAATGATATTTTTAGTTGCTTAATTCAAAAAATATATAAAAATTACAAAAGAATCAGTGGCGTACATTTTTTTTTGTCAAAAATATTCGTTAAGGTACCGCTCGGGACGCCAAAAGATATTTACGAAATAACATTTTTTTTTCAAAAGTCTAACACCCTGTATCTTCAAAACGTAAGTATCTGCGGACCAATATTTATATGAACTTTTTGTCTTAAAATCACTCAAATAATCGTCTGTTGAATTTATTGTACATACTTAATTATCACCCTGTATAAATACATTGCTGGAGAATAGTACGTATTGAATTTGTAGGCAACCAGTAATTCTCATTTTTATTATTAAGTGTTGTATAATATTCACATTTTAAATCATAATTAAAAAATACTAAAAAACATCCATTTTCAGTATTTTTATACGTTTAAAGCAATAAGTAACTTAGTTTTTTTTTTAAACAGTGACAGCATCATTTTGTGATATTGGTACTTTTGTATTATAATTTTAATTGTATTGCTGCAGGTACATTTTCAGTATCTGGTGCATTCAATGAGGTAAATTATATTCTAATATATTTTGTGGTTTTCGAAAACACTAAAGACAGTTTCAACCGTGGTTTTATAAGCTGTCCTGTATATCGAACGGTTCCTAAATTAAAAAAATATGTAGGGTGACGTCACTAGCAGATCGTTCTCTGATTGGATACACATTTTCGCTCGGTTTTGAACGGAATTTGTAAACAAACATTTAAAAAATAAAAGTTTCAAACGACAATGACAGGGCAATGTCACTTTATTTATATATTATTTGGATTTCGAAAATAGGACTTATTTTAATGTTGCGCAACTTTGCAAAAACTTTATTTACGTAGGTACTCCCATAATGTTATTTAAAATGCTAATCTTCATCATCTCGAAAACATCATTGTGCTTATTACACAAGTGTACCAAGTGATATGATAACATATATTCTTGTTTTTTTTTTTTAACAGAGATAATTATAAATTAAATACGTAAAGCACACGAGTCCGTTTATAAATAAAAGAGAATTTTGACCGAAGCGTGCGCAGATTCAGTTCTCGCAGACAGCTGACTTGTTTGTAGGAAGAAAAGGGAGCCGAGTCGTTGAAGCGTTACGTGGGCAATTTGTTACCCACGTCTATAAACTTACTTTTTGGAGCTGCGGGGGTTTCTTTTGCAACCATGGCGTACTGTATGCGAGTTTTGCATCGCCAGGTGAGTCTTCAGATCATTTCCCTCTTCCAATTCAATACCTATCACCTTTTTGTTGGCCCGATCGTCACGTGTAAGCTCCCAAAACTTTCACCCACTCAGTTACATAACAGAAAAAGAAATAAACTTCCCCTGCTACCCCCAATTCCCAGTAAATTTAACTATAAACCATGCTATCTGAATGAACTAAGGTCATTGCCTTGTTTGTATTATAATTATATATTTTACTTTTAGGGGGGCAAAGCCGGCAGCTTGTTGTTCAGCGAGATACAGACGAGATGCTTCCATATTTCACCCTTAGCAGCAGCCGCTGCAAGGGTGGCGATGAGCAAATTCGACACGGAACCTCTGCCTTACGAGAAACTCACTCAGACCTTGCAGATAATCAAAAAGAGGCTCAACAGGCCCTTGACCCTTTCCGAAAAAGTTTTGTACTCTCACATTGACCAGCCAGACACTCAGGTAGGTGTTGTTCCATTGATATTTGCTCGGGTCACGCTTTAAGTTAACCTTTGGATATTTGGATTCGTCTGCAGCGATAAAGAGCTGTTTTTGATTTGCTTTATGGTTTTGTAAATAAGGAAGTGTTCTGTAAACAGTCACTTGGCGTTTTTAATTGGTTTGTTTGATTATGGAATTTTTTATTGATTATATAACAGGCTAAAGTGAGGTTATATCTGTCTTGACATTGGTGTTAGTTTAAGGGCATTGCTTAATTAAACCAAAACGAGATATCTTTGCAATGAATCAGACTTACGTTGAGGATATTTTTATTGTGAAGTGTTGGAAATATTTTTTAAATTAGAGTTCGTGTAATTTTTTAAATATGCGTTCATATTTTAACTAAAGATATTGTGGGAAGCAACTACTCTTCAGGCTACAACTCTGCTCGGCATTAAATTAGGCTCGTATTATCTAGTAAACAGCGAAAATCATTCATCGGCCACTCAAAACCACTCAAAATGTTTTTGGTTGGGAAAACTAAACGGCTTAATTATTTTTTTTTTAATGAGGTTTATTCGATAACACTTTAGTAAAGTGGAAGGAAGTTATTAATTTATAGATAAGGGCACTTCTGTTTATTTTTAGTACGGATTAATTATCGTGAAAATATTGCTAATATAAATGAATTTTTTTCCATGTGGATAATAATTACACAGACGTGCAAATATACATCTGTTTGGTGCATTGCACATTTTTGTTCTGGGTTTATAAGTGCATTTTTGAACCAAATTGAAACTTTAATAAACTAACATTTGCGGCAAAAGTAAATCAGTAAATATCAACTTACTTTTTTAAACACAAGCATCAATTTTCAGTATAAATTTTATTTTTTATTGGCTGCTTTTTCATTGTGAGAGTATTGTTAGGCAAAAATTATTTAATGAAAAGGACTCACGATTGATTTTTTTTGTGCAACGATTGGTTAAATTAATTTTTTACTTTCTCGCATAAAAAAATGTAAAATTATGCCGCAAATGATCAACTTGCAGACAGTATAGTCGACATTTCATTTATCTCAGTTTTTGTGCTTTACTATTTTTTTATTTATTATTTCCAAAAAGTTATATTCATACGATTATAAATTTTGTGGTTACAGGTAAAGGTTGAATAAATATTTGGAAAGTGTAATTTCATTATAATTTTTGAAATTCCTCTACTTATAATGATAAAATAATAAGTACCTATGTAATAACTAACTGCAGGATAGATAATTATATTTTTGTTTTTAAATTTAAAGTAAATTAGATAAGTTTTATCAGAGATCAGTTTGAATGAAATGAGTAATCCTCGTAACGTAATGGAATTTCTTGACTTTTTCCATGTCGTAAATATTGATAAATATCTTTTCATTAATAAAAAATATTTTGTCGATAACCATTGTTAACTTTTATTTCATTTAAAAAGAAGTAAAAATTCATATTCTGTTGCTCCTTGCTACTATTAGCGTTATAAGTTTAATTCATAGGAAAACGTCATGTATGTTAATGCTCAAAAACTATTTGTGCTCTGTTTACAGACTTCAGCGTTGTAATTCCCATTACGAGAAATAAGTTTATTTCTATGAAAGATAGAGGAATTGCTGCATAAATATTTGCATTCTTCCTCCACTATTTCTGTAATATATGGGACACTAGCACCCTCTAATGCTCTCGTGCTCTTTGTTTAGTCTCATGGCTTTTCCCATGACAGTGATTTTAAATTAATATAATAGATGTCACCACTTTGTTGTTCTTATTAATGTTCCTGGATTGATAAAATACCTACATTACCCGCCATTTTGGGGTAAAAGAAATTCAATTTGAACACCCTGTACCTTGTAAACTTAACACTTCTCGACCCATATAGTATTATAGAATTTAGCCACAAATTCCATGCATTTTTTAAAAAAATATGTCTTCAATTTTGACATTAAAATAATGCCATTTTCTCCCAAACTAAAAATCGTCGAGTTAGGTTACTCTTATTTGCTATTTTGACAATAAATAATTATTAATTTTTTTTTTAATGGATGTAGACTTTTTTCATTTGGGGAAAACCGATATGCAAACTCTATCGTGGACACTGTATAATTTTCTAAATAATCACACTTCATTAAATATTATTTAAGACATGCAAACAAAAAAATTGAAAAAAAAGTTTTTTTTTTCACTAAAATGATAAATATAATTTCCCATTGTAGGAAATCGAACGTGGCACCTCCTACTTGAGACTGCGCCCCGACAGGGTTGCCATGCAGGATGCCACCGCCCAAATGGCGATGTTGCAGTTTATATCTAGCGGCCTTCCGAAAGTCGCCGTGCCCAGTACCATCCACTGCGACCATCTCATCGAGGCTCAAGTGGGTGGCGTTAAAGATCTTGCCAGGGCTAAGGACATCAACAAGGAAGTTTACAACTTTTTGGCGTCCGCCGGTAACAAGTACGGCGTTGGCTTCTGGAAACCCGGATCCGGTAAGTCTCAGAATAAAATCGCTCTTAATCAGTTGCATTATGGCCTCAATATTTTATAATTGTTTCTTTCAGTTAATATCGTACAACTGTATTTTTAGTAAATTTATCAGTAATCGTTAGGTGAAGGAAAATACTGAATGTTTCTTTCCGATCTTGTACAAATTTTTTCTCCGGTTGTTTCGCACATCCCAATTTCTTAAGTATGTTTACTCTTCATATTTTATTATGTGATATTTTTAAGAAGGCGAATGAATGAGAAATTTTTTATTGGCACCAATGTTCATCACATTAATCTAGATTGGGATAAATTATAAAATAATTAATTCTCGATAAAAATTCATTGTAATACTGACTTGGTGTTTTTCATGAATTCTTTGAGTGGGCCAAATTGATTAGATTTTGATCAAACTTCGACATTATTTTTTCAATGTCTTGAACTACATTTACAAATTTTTCAAGTAATTTGTGTTGAAATTGCCGAAGTTTTGGGCTCTTGTCCACCGAAGGTCGTCGTCCGAGTTAGTTTACAGGAAATGTGATCACAATTTTGTAGGGAGCTCTATATAGGTGGCTGTTTCAGGAAGGCACACTATATTTTTCTCTAAATCTTTATTTTTCCATAAAGGCATAACTCTAAAACAACGCTTCTTTTTCTAACTAACCATTAGCCTAAGATAAGTAAAAACACTGAACACTTTACTGCAATCTCCTCTTCCTCTTCTTATTCGAATAAGTAAATCGCGCGGGATTTTTTTAATATTTGAAACGGGTTACTACAATTATTATGTTTTTTAATATGAACCTCATATGCTGATAAAAATTGTGAACATTGAAGTTTTGACACGTGTTTGAAAAAATGTATCGATATTCACTTATTTTGATTAAAAAACATCCTTAAAATTATATCATTCCAATTGTTGGTTCACGTTCTTTGTAATTTCATAAAGAAACACACTTTCAATTTTCATAACGATCGGTTCATGACTTTTTGAACTAGATTTCCCGTGAATCAAAGAAATGTCGTTTCGAGAAAAAAGCGTTTGAAAATTTCCGAAAACTACAAATTTGAGAAAGTCAATCAGCGATTCCAGTACCTTACAACAGTCCTTCTTCTTCCTCATAGCCATCATTCTGAGCTTGCATCTGTTCTTTTCTTGACTAGTGAGTGACTAGACTACCTGAACAATCGCTCCGCTTTACCTGCTGTGCTTCCGAGCAGTGACCCGATGGGCGTTTGTTTTAGGCTCATAATTGTTCGGGACGAATAGGAATTTCATTTTGAAATTTTGTCAGCGTATTCTTGAATTGTTACACTAACAATTTATACAAAAAAAAAAAATCGATTTTTTGAGCCTCCTGATATGGTTTTAGTATAAACATTTATTTTCATTTCCTACGAGTTTCAGCTGTTACGACCATCATCAGGGAAGAAGAAAAATGGCAATCATTTAAAAAAGATTTAACCTCATAGAACTACTAAGAAATGACATAATTTTTGTGTAAAAATGAAAATATCAGTAAATTTTGTTTGTCTTCAGTTCATCACAATGACTTGAAGGAAAAATTGGCTGCATAAAACTACTAACTCGTTATAAATTTTGTAAAAATTTTTTACTGGTATTTTCATTTTTACACAAAAATTATGACGTGTTAGTAGTTTTATGTAGTCATTTTTTTTCAACTCTCATTAACCTTTTTTGCCTGATAATGGCTTAAGAATCGAAATTAACAGGAAAGGAAAATAAATGTTTATACTGAATTAAAAAAGGCTCTAATTTATTCTATCATCACATTTATAAAATCGTTAATTTAAAACCCACTTAATCAGTGTAAGAAGAACAATAAAGTATATTTGTATTTTTAGAAGCCTATGCAAATTTTTTTTGTATCTACCCACATGAGAAAATATTATGGTTTTTGGTACTTCATGAACATATTTTAGAGCACCGACTAATATTTTCATCTATGTCTTCGTTATTTTATTGTTTTCGTTACTTCAGTTGTTTTTTTGTCTTTTCCTTTTTTCCGTCTCTTTTTTCCTTCTACTTGTTACAATTTTTTTATTTTAACTAGCGCTTTTTTTGACAATAATTTTCTTCCTTGTTATTGCCACAAATTTATGCATTCCATGGATATAGTTTTCAAATTTTTGATTATTTTTAAGTCGACGGAAACTTGTCTCGTTTTGTATCTACAAATGATCCAGTTGTTGTGCAAAAGCAGTATTATTTAGTTTTATTTCTAGTAAGTTGATATAACGAATATTGGACATTAAATTTTTTGATGTACCAACAAGACAAATTTTATATTTTTATTGAAGCTCAAAATGTCCAAACCCAAAAATTTTCCATTAAACTTCAGTAATATATTGTCACTAAAGAAACGATGCTCCTAAGTAACATTTTTTATCAAAATGGTTTATCATAAAACACCTAAATAGCGTGCATCTCCATCGTCTAATACTATATTTTTGAAGAGTTTGCAATTGAAGTAATTTGTTGGTTATTTTGATGCCGAGAACCTAAAATTAGATCAGGTTTTCATTAATCACAGTTACGAAGCAGTTTTTTGGTCTCCTGAAAAGTTGACATTTTTGTACGTAGGCGGTATTGTTTTTTCAACGATGATATATTCTAATATTTGTCAGCTGTGGTAGATATGGGCGCACAACTATACAGGGTGGTACTTTGGATGGGGACTTTCGGCCTTTGGAAACACGTCATAACTTTGTTTTCTCAAATTCCATTATAAAAACAGTTTTTGTAACTTTTTTTTCTTTATTGTCATACCCTGTCTCTGGGAGTAAAAAAATATAGTGATTTTAGAAAAAAAAAACGTGCCGAAAAGCCGTATAAATTCAATCTATTTTCTACAAAATTATTTTCCACTGCAGTTTTACTCTCTGCCATTCCATTAGTGACATATGGTGGGTTTACAAAGAATAGGGCGCTGGCCTGTGATGGCGTAGACAGGAGTATGTGCAGTTTAAAAAACAAATTATAACTTGACTGTTTATTTGATCAGTATTCTGGAGAATATGTATAATTATCCAAAAAAAAAAATTATCTCATAGTTACGCCCTATTTGTTGATTGGACAAATAATCGTTACAATAAAATGATTAATCCTAGGAAAATATAAACAAAGAAATAGGGGTATTAACTGATTTTATTAGTCAATCCTTAATATTAAAACTACTGCGTGAAAACCGAGGAACACTTCATCATCAGCGATTATCCGTTTTAGGTATTATTCATCAAATTATCCTGGAAAACTACGCCTTTCCCGGCCTCCTCATGATCGGTACGGATTCGCACACACCCAACGGCGGCGGCCTCGGCGGTCTATGCATTGGTGTGGGTGGCGCCGATGCCGTCGACGTAATGGCTAGCATTCCTTGGGAACTCAAATGTCCCAAGGTCATCGGTGTCAAACTGACAGGTGAGTTAACAAATTTGTATTGGAAGATTACGAATTTACGTTTCTTAAGGAAAATTATCCGGGTGGACATCCCCGAAGGACATCATCCTCAAAGTCGCCGACATCTTAACCGTCAAGGGAGGCACCGGAGCGATCGTCGAGTACCACGGGCCCGGCTGCAATTCCGTCTCCTGTACCGGCATGGCCACTATTTGCAATATGGGCGCCGAAATCGGAGCTACGACCTCGCTTTTCCCCTTCAACAATAGGATGAGCGATTACTTGAACGCTACGAACCGTTCGGAAATCGCCCAATTGGCCGAGAAGTACCAAGATGTGCTTCTTACCCCGGACAAAGGTAAGAATATTAAGTTAGGTGGAGACGTCGCTTGAATACTTAAATTTGTAGGTGCCGAGTACGACCAGCTCGTTGAAATCAACCTGGACACTCTGGAACCGCGCGTCAACGGCCCGTTCACACCCGATTTGGGAAATCCCATCAGCAAGCTGGGACAAAACGCGAAGAAAAACGGCTGGCCAATCGATATCAAGGTGGGACTTATCGGTTCCTGCACCAACAGCTCGTACGAGGATATGGGCAGGTGCGCGAACATCGCCAAGGAAGCGATGAGCCACGGTGTGAAATCGAAGATTCCCTTCAACGTCACGCCCGGATCCGAACAAATCAGGGCCACCATCGAGAGGGACGGGATTTCCAAAACGCTGACCGAATTCGGCGGAACTGTAAGTGTTTTTTAAATTCTACCATACAGTTTTAAAATACCTTGCTTTGTTTTTTTGTGTGTTTTACCACATTCTGAGGGTTTTTTAAATTTAATATACAGGATGTTACTTTCAATGGGGGTCATTATTTATACAGGAGGTTACCTTTGAACATATATAAGTTTGTTTCCTCAAATTTTGTCATGAAAATAGATTTTTTTTAACATCCTTTTCATAATTTTCATGCCCCACTGCTAGCTGCGAGTGCATACTCAGTTGGGAGCTACGGCATACATGTTTTTTCCAATATCACAGAAATTTAGCAATGAAGACACACAAACACACTATACCGTCGCTAAACACTGATCTGTTCAAATTCCACTTTGATTCCAGTAAAAACTAATATTTTACTCAGAAAGTCATAAAATTACCTTCCCTGTTACCTTCTCGCAAACTGAAAACTAAAATAAGAGTAATAAACTGAAGCGGTGTCATAATCGGCCATTTTCGTTCAATCGAATTAACATTGGCTGTTTGCTTTTTGTCCGCCTTGTTCCCGTTTCTCATATCATATTTGGCAGATTGATATTTAGTGCACCTAAGCTAGGTCAATATGAGAGGTCATTGACACAAATTCACAAACTAACACAGTGCTTTAAGAAAATAGCACAAATTCTTTGTTGGGCAGTTTGAAAAACTAATTGTAATTCGATTGTTTTATTTAAAAAAAGATTATATTAGATTAGTAGTCTGGGGAAGTATCCTTAAAAATTGACCGTCTCTTAAAGTTGACCTTGTACATGAATTTATTTGGAATTTTCCAATTTTTTTTATAAGATTTGATCATTTTTAATGTTCTGTTTGAGCTTAGGAGAGTTTATCTGTTGAAGAAGAACAAAGAAGTTAATAGTTGCTTTAATTTATTTAACATTTTTACTTGGAATTCAATTTTTTTTTTTTTTAATTTCTTAAGAGAATAAAGTTAAATAAGATTTTTTAAAAAAGATTTTTCAATTATTTGAATTATCTTCACATCTTTAAAATAAAGTAAATACAGAACTATTGAGGAGGTTTATTGGGTACGTCTAAAGTGAAATGAGAGTTTCTGTAGATTCGCTAGTGACTAAAGTTGTAAGCCTTACTTGGCTAACTCACTCGGCTTGGCGTTTGCTCGCTCGCGTTCGATCATTGTGTGTGGATGCCTAAGCTTGAAATATACACCATATGTCACACCTACCCGATCTATTTCATGACGGACCCGGCGACATGAGCCGTTTGTAAAATTGATGTCTAAAAAAAGACCTGGGGTCTAAAAAAAAAAAAGGAGGGAATCAGGGAATGTGGGAAATGTACAATTTTTTTCAGAAAACCTGGAGAAATGACATATTAACCCGGAGATCTGGCAACCCTAGTCATGCATATAGAGTTAAGTTAGTCAACAGTAGCAGTTTGAAGGAGAATTATTATAAACTTGAGATACATATATCTTACAATAATCTAACAAATTGTCGAATATACCTAATTTTTTTTGCCAAAAAATAGTTCAGAAATTGAAAATATGTAAAAACTAGGAAAAATTCCGAAGAATTCAATGAACTACTATTTACCCCACCTGAATTTTTGAGCTTAATTTTCAAAATGGCATCCAAAGTTCGCAAAAAACATTTTTTTTCATTTATAAAAATAAAACTGAACGTTTTAGAAAAAAATGTTTTCAAACAAGGGTTGTAGGAATTTTTAATACAGATCGAATAACCCCAAACCGGTTTTGGTAAATAAATTAATTAGTTATCGCAAAAAAAACGCTAAAAATGTATCTCTCAAAAATAAAGATTTTTTTATGAAACTTGGTGAAATAAAATAATTTTTTCTAAATTGAAAAATCCCTACTATAATGTAATAATAATAATATAATATATAATATAATATATAATTAATAATATAATAATATAATAATAATAATTAATATTTAATATTTTAATATAATATTATAAATGTGAATGTAAGTTTGTTTGTTATGCTTTCACGTGAAAACTACTTAACCGATCATCATGAAACTTTGTACACATATTATTGGAGGTATTAGAAGTAATATAGGATACTTTTTATTAAAAAAAAATTATTTTTTACGAAAGATTTTCTATATTTATTGTTTCAGGTTAGGTGTCATTTTTGTGGTTAATTCGTGATTTTACCCTTGATCACTGATACTTATTTAATGGCTTCAATGCGAGCGGTAAAAGCTAGTATTTATAATTCTGCAAAAATCGAGTTTTCGAAAAAAAAGCGTTTTTGTAAAAATCCCCATAATTCATAGGCCGCCACATCTTTAGGAATGGGGTTGGGATTAAAGTTTTCTTTAATAACTACACTATTATGTGCAAATATTGCGCGAGCCTCAAATCGATTTCAAATATCGCAAAAAACCATTGAAAAATCGTTTTATTTTCGGGACCCTAAAACTTTGATTAACTTTTTGATTTCAATTTGTATCGAAATGCCGATACTGCCGTTCGAAAGTTGACATTTTTTTACTAATGTAAAGAAAAAAGTCTGCCCTACGAGCAACAGGGGCCGAGGAAAGGTTTTTTTTCCTCATTTATATTTTATATATTTTATGAAAAATATTTTATAATTTCTGCAAAAATCGAGTTTTTCGAAAATTCGTCACGACCTCATTAATTAAGGGCTGAAATTTACAAATATTACAGTTGAATCATCAACGTGTCGAGCCGAGTAAGCAATGTATGGGGCCCATAAAAATGAAGTTTAATGAAAGAAAATGGGACCAATCATTATTTACTATTTTTTATATTATAACGTGTAAATTTCAGCCCTTAATATTAATAAATGAGGTTGTGACGATTTTTCGAAAAACTCGATTTTTGCAGAAATTATAAAATATTTTTTAATTTTGAAATAATCATATTATTTTGCTCACCAAGAGCTATCGTTTCTCCAAGTTTCATAAAAAAATCTTTATGTTTGAAAGATACAAGTATTTGAAAAAATTGCGATTTTTAGAGGTTTTTTTTTGCAATTACTAATTAATTTATTTTTCGATCAAAACCGGTTTGGGCTTATTCGATCTGCATTAAAAATTTCTACAACTTTTATTTGAAAATTTTTTTTCTAAAATGTTTATTTTTTTTAATGAAAACACCCTTTTTTGTGAACTTTGGATGCTATTTTGAAAATGAAGCCCAAAAATTCAGGTGGGGTAAAGTAGTTCATTGAATTTTACGGAATTTTTCCTAATTTTTACATATTTTCAATTACTGAAAAAGTAATTTGTTTGGACTAAAAGTACCTAAATGATTTCTAGGAGCTGTCATACAGTTCCTTAGATCCTATTTATACAAGTTGCTGTGGAAACTGTTCGTCAATTGTTGCGCATTCTAACTGAAAAGACCAAAAAAATCTGCAGCCTCATAAGACTACTAAATTGTGAAAAATTATTTTATTAATATCTCGACTCTCTAACTCGTCTCCAAACTAGTAATAATTTTCTTCATATTAATAAGCTTATATTATTTATTTTTATGAATATTTGTTTGTCAATTCCATATCAGATAAACCTCCTTAATAGAATATTTATGTTTTTTTTATAAAGTTATTTATAGTTTATTAGCAAACTGTGGATATCCAGAATAATAAACAAAATTATATTAAACACGACTTTACACTACATATTTACTATAAAGAAGGGATTATGATAATCGTGAAATGACAAATTTGTTTTATTCCACGTCATTAATGAGTAAAAATCGAACTTTTAACCTTTCGACGAATCTTAACGAATTTGTCTGATCTGGCAGACACAGGCCTCAGTTCAAAGATAATTGTTTATGGTGCAATAAAAACAATGCAATGAATAGCGAGAAAACAATGAAAACAATCAGTTGATGATTCTTTAATTTTATATTCTCGCTCGCACTTTTTAAGTTACATTATCGTGTTCTTTTCCAATTTATACATTTTTTTTGAAAAGTTGATTACATAGAACTCAATTATAAAAAATCACATATTGACTTTTTAATGCGCAAATAACAGGGGCCTTGTGCTGAATATAAGTAACGATTGGCTTTAAATGTCATTTTAGGTACTCGCAAATGCTTGTGGGCCCTGCATCGGCCAGTGGGACCGTAAGGACGTCAAGAAAGGCGAGAAGAACACCATCGTCACATCCTATAACAGAAACTTCACTGGTCGTAATGACGCCAATCCCGCCACCCACTGCTTCGTCACCTCTCCGGAACTAGTCACTGCCCTAAGCATCGCCGGGACCCTGAACTTCAACCCGCTCACCGACGAAATTCAAGGTACCGTATTATTCATGAGACTTTAATTTTTTAGGTTATTTTTTTTTTATAATTTACAGGTACTGACGGCAAAAAATTCAAACTCTCTCCACCCTTCGGAGACGAGCTCCCCAGCAAAGGCTTCGATCCCGGCCAAGACACGTATGAGGCACCCGTGAAGGACGGCAGCAAATTGTCCGTCAACGTCGATCCGAAATCTCAACGTTTGCAGCTGTTGGAACCCTTCGACAAGTGGGACGGGAAGGACCTGGAAGATTTGACCATTCTCATCAAGGTCAAAGGGAAGTGCACCACCGATCACATATCGGCGGCCGGGCCTTGGCTGAAGTACCGCGGTCACCTGGACAATATCTCTAATAACATGTTCATTGGGTTAGTACGTGAACAAGTGCTTTTTTTTCATCAATCGCTTTATTCTTTCACCGCCCCGACCACCCGCCCCCCGACCTCATGTAATTTAAACTCGTAGCCACGTCTGCTTTTTTTGTTTGTTTGTTTTGTAATGTTTTTGTAGCAATTTTTAATATACCTAAGGAGGAAACAAAAAAATTAAGTTATTTTCGAAATAACAATAACGGTGAGTAATTTTTTTTCAACTCCCAGAAAAAATGGTGTTTTTTCAAGAAAACTCAAAAGGGGTAACAGCTAGAAAAAAATAGTTTGTTATAAAAGTTGCGGAGCGTAAAAATAAAAGTTGATTCCGAAATTTACGATTGTCGTTTGTTCAAAAGCGGCAAATTACAAATTTCGTTACAATAAAAATTAATTTTAATTTCAACCTAAGTCCATTTCAAAGAAAATCTGCGTAAGAATGGAGGAAAGTCCGTTATTTGTACATTAATTCATATTTAGACAAACTGTGCAATAAAAATACTGTGCATCTGTAAAAAATGTATTGCTGGTTGCCTGTTTGCTATAGAGCCCTCTTAAGCAAATAATTTTCACTAATAGACCAGATAAACCATAAAATACAGTATAATCTTGTTGCACATAAGAATTCTAAATTTTTTCATTTAATCAATTGATAAGAAATCTGCGTCAAGTTCAGATTATTAAAACATTTTTTCAAATTTCGTAATTACTATTTCAAGCATAGATGGCGCCACATATATCTCGTCCATTCAGGTTGCACGCAAAACCATTATAAAGGACAAAAAATATCGAACCTTCAGTAACTCTTCTGCTGTAAGGGGGTGTATCACATTTTTCTGAAAAAAAAAACTACCTAATACACTAGACAATCCTAAAACACAATATAATCTTGTTAAACTTAGGACTTCCAAATTCTCATCAGACAGTCATGTATTTGTATCGTGTCGCCATAGATCCCAACCCTTCCACACTCTTGTGGGTACCTTACTTTTATATCATAACGTTTGACTTGTGTAGGCGACATGTAGAACAACGCCACCTATTGACGAACTTTAGTACCTTCAAACTCTCATTCAAAATCTCTAAAACAGCTAATTCCTAAAACAATATAAAATTCTTCATCTAAGACAGCCACGTATTTGTGACGTTTCGTCATAGATCCCAACCCTTCCTCACCCTTGTGGGTACCTTACTTTTATACTATAACGTTCGACTTGTGTAGGCGACATGTTGATCAGCGCCACCTATTGACGAACTTCAGTACCATCAAAAACTCATTAAAAATCTCATAAAACAATTAAATCCCAAAACAGTGTAAAATTCTCCATCTAATAACGTTTGACTTGTGTAGGTGACATGTATGTAGATCAGCGCCACCTATCGACAAACTTTAGTACCATCAGAAACGCATATTAAATAGGCGAAATTTAGACGTTTCAAATAACTTTTTCACCAAAATTGGTACCTTTTATAACCTCTTTATTTATTCCTGCAGGTGACGTTCGAATCAGCGCCATCTATTGGCAAACTTTGATACTATCAAAGACGTAAATTAGGTAGAAATTTAGACATTTTCGATCAATTTTTTACCAAAATTAAAAGAAAAATTAAATCAATTCCTACATTCTGGCACTTATTAAACAATTGAAATTTGCCTCTAGTTGAGGGCATATAGGAAGGGCATTGTTTAACAAAAACCAAATCGGAGATAAAAATAACATTTTATTTTGCATTAAGACCTATTTACAAATATAAGAAAAATTACATTGATTTTATTGTAACACAAATTTTCGTATTTTTTGTAAGTTAAAGTAATTTTTTTTTAGGGCGACAAACGCCGAGAATGGCGAAATGAACAAGGTGAAGAACCAGGTGACGGGCGAGTGGGGCACGGTGCCCGACACGGCGCGTTTCTACAAGGCCAAGGGCATCAAGTGGGTGGCCGTCGGCGACGACAACTACGGCGAGGGCAGCTCCCGCGAACACGCCGCCCTCGAACCCAGGCACCTGGGGGGCCGCGCCATCATCGTCAAATCCTTCGCTCGCATCCACGAGACCAACCTGAAAAAACAAGGACTTTTACCTCTAACGTTCGCCAATCCCAGCGATTACGATAAGATCCAGCCCACCGACAAGGTCAGTCTGAAGGGCTTGAAAAACCTCGCGCCCGGCAAGCCAGTGGAATGCGTGATCAAGCACGCCGACGGTTCCACCGATAAGATCTTGCTTAACCACTCGTTGAACGAGCTGCAGATCGGGTGGTTCAACGCCGGCAGCGCGCTCAACAGGATGAAGGAGCTCGCCGCGTAGTAGTAGGTAGGAGATAAGGATTATTTAATTGTGTAGATTAATAAATTACGTACTTTGTTACAAGTGGTTTTTTTGAAGAAATTTCTGGTCTTGTTACTGCCCCCGTTTATGTGTAAATTTAGTTAAACAGCCCAGACGAGCGAGTGTTGGGAAAGAAAACAATAGATGGCGACACTTACACTCTGAATAGGGATTTTATAGGAGTCGCCGTCAGTTAATTTCTTTCCTAAGTTCGTCTAACTGCGATTATATACACATACGAGGGTGCTGTTTAGCGTCACGCCTTACTATCTCTTTGTGGTAATTTATGTAAATATCAACATATAGTCATAGCTTTTATTTTTTTTTATGTAGTTTCCCAAAGGCTCTGACAATAAAATTGTTTTTATTATGGACTCGAGTGTTTTTCTCAATTTTACCCCCTTTGAATCTTCAATTAATTTCTTGCCTGTGTAATTTCTTTCGTTAGATGAGTCAAGGTTAGAAATGACAATACTAGGTGGCGCCTCTTCCATAAAATCACCGTTATACTATTTTTTATACAATTTGATTGATTCATTCAACAATGAGTGTCAGAAATGACGTGTAGATTTCAACATTTTAAATATCATAGTAGCCGTGTTTGAAACGGCTGCCTGGTGGTGGGCTTTAGGCACTAGAACGGTGGTGCGCATGCGTAGCGACTGAAGCAAACACGCTGTAGTCATGTTATTTTATACACGGGAGCGCAAATGGCTCCATCTGCCATGCTGACTCCCAACTGTGCCATTCAAATGGCTACAGTAGGAAGCGACCTATATTGCAGGTACTAGTTGCACGACTGCCACCCACAGAGGGCGTAACACAATGTTTGAATTATCAGTGCTGCGAGAAACAACTACTCCGAGGGCTTATGCCCCTACTGGCATTGAATTATACTCGCAACACCAAATTACTGACGAACGACCCTAGCTGTCGCACTAGGTGTTGCAAGTATAATTCAATGGCGGTAGGGGCACATAGCCAATGGAATAGTTGTTTCTCGCAACACTGGCAATTAAAATGCTATGATTTTGTTATGGTTGTGGTTACGTTTTTGTAAGCTTGATAGGACGTTTAAGTAGTATGCAGAATAAAAGTGTTTGAAGATCGAACGAGACTTTAATTTAAACCAAAAGAACATTGTAATTGTGGTGTAAGCCTATATTTGCATTTTTATTATACAGGGTGTAACTTTAAGAGCGGTGTCAGTTTTTTTAGGAATAATAGTACGTGTCCCCTGAACACGAATCTGGAGTTATAATAAATTTTTTTAAATGGACTTTAATTTTTGTGTACGTCGCCACTGAGCGGGCTAAACCGGGACACCCGGAATTTGTGTGTGAAGTTGTGTTAGTGCACTATCATACTATCAATGTTGCCAATTGTTTTTAAATCGATCTATGTTACGTTATAAAAATTAAGTAAGAGTAAAATTTGACAACAATGCACAGCCCAGTTCCCAATTGTGCATGCTCTGCGACTAAAGTGCGCAGTAGTTTGAAATTACACTAGCTTATCCAGCGGCGGGATAAGAAAATTTCAAAAAAAGGATAAAAAACAATTAAGTTTTATGACAGAATTTAAAAAAATAAACTATTGATACGTGTTTCTAAGTCTCAAAGGAAGCCTGTGTAAAAATATGATCCCCACTCAAAGTTACACCCTGTATAAAGTTTAGTATAGAATTATTTAATTTGCTATTTTTTAAATAAATTTTGAAAAAATCTTATTCAATGCGTTCTTTTGATTCTAACAAAAGTTTTAAAAATCATAAACCATGTGTGTAGATATATACAAAATTTTTTTCTGAATCATACCTTTTCCGATTGTCAATCCCTTATTTGCCCGGCATCGTAGCCCAAGTTCTGAAATTCCTGCGTCACCACATTCACGGTAATGCGAGCGTGACCGGTTGTTTCCATTCTGATCACTGAAATGAAATTTCTTTGATTACACAGTAAAATACTAGACGTCGCACTATCGGTCAAACGGCATTTTTTTTATGTCAAAATCAAATATCTCGAAGAAGAATTAACGAATCGTTTTACATTTTTATTTTTTATTTAAAGCTTATTTGATGTAGATTTAGGGAAAATTATTGCGAATGTCATCATCCCCTATTTTGGGGGTGGATATGAAGGGCGAATAGATGAAAAAAGTGGAAATCGATTTTCTTCGTTCAAAAAACTTATATCTTCGCTAAATACAGTGAAATTAAGATACATTTTGGTGGAATCAATGCTCAATTGAAACAAGTTAAGGAAAAATTAATGGAAATTTTTTCGTCCCTATTTTAGGGGTGGAAGTGAGGGGTTGGGGGTGTGGAAAAATAAAAATGAAAGAAAATATGCATAAAAGGTTTTTGTTATCGCTGAACACAAACAAAAGCATCACTAAAATAAAAAACTCCTTTTCAGAAGCTGATTTTATGATCCCCTAATTTAGAGGAAGATAAAAGATTTTTGAAGAAAGAAAATCGATTTTCACTTTTCACCTATTCACCCTTCATTTCCACCTCCAAAATAGGTGATGATGACATTCGCAATAATTTTCCCTAAATCTGCATCAAATAAGCTTTAAATTTAAAAAAAATGTAAAACAATTCGTTAATTCTTCTTCAAGATATTTGATTTTGATATAAAAAATGTCGTTTGACCAATAGTGCACCATAGCACACAACATTATTTTGTATTACTATTATCCACAGATTAGAAGGTCACTCTTTGCCAGTCTGTCATGCTGCTGGCGAATGATATCAGCTGTATTTTTTAGATATTGTGGGATGTAATTCAATGCTGGCAGTGCCTATAGTCCCCAGAGTAGTTGTCTCACATGATATTATTAGTTAAAATTTTAAAAACCATCAGGTATACTTACGGTTATTGCCGGCCGTCGTAGCCAGCATCTTGGGCTGCAGCAGTTCGGGTTGGTATCCGAAAAATGACGCGACGTAACCCAGCATGCTCGACGCCATCGGTTTGGACAAATTAACGTCGAGAGTGTGGGCACCCGGCTTCAGCGGCATGTGAACCCTACCGTAGCCTCCCAAGTGCGTATTTTCATACACGCTTAGTATCATCTGCGGCCCTGATAAAAAATGCAAGCGTTGAAACATAACTTTTTCTAACGGGACTGATGCCTCATATTTTAATGAAAGATTCTACTTCACAAATCAACAGATCCTTTAACGATATGTCCGAAAATAAAGTTTTTGAGATTCAAGAAGACAAAATTTGAATAAAATCAATATTAGATTAAAAAATTTGGCTTGTAGCTTTAAATTAATTTATTACATAAATGGACAGAGATAACAATAAGGGCTGTCAGAGAGAGAGGCAATTCATTGGCATGTCAAGTGGGTCAACAGAAACATAAACAAGACCACGCCTCAGAATGCTTTTCATGTTCAAGTCAAGTTAGTATACTGTTGTTAGGGTGAGTTTTGAATACATTGTTATAAATTGTACTAATTTATTGCTTATTTTCTACATAATTTATTTTATTACGCTTAACATGATGTGCATGCCAATGTTCCGTGGTCAATTCTGACAGTCCCAGCAATAATTTACACAAACTTTTGTATCTGATTAAATTATAAAAGAGTGTTGCATTGTTTTTTGCAGCTTTAAATATAATTTTTTTAATTTTGAACACCCTATATTTAGGAAATGAGCCAAATATGTCTAAACTAATGCAAAAAATTAAAGGGTCAAAAGAATTTCCGAAATTTTTCCTTAATTTTTGACAGGCTGTATTTAGGTGAAAAATGGTCATATGGGGAATTAAAAAAAAGCATTTTGTACCTCTAAGATTCTAGGTTTTAGATTTTTTAGTCGAAATTATTTAGGAGCTACGGTTATCATACAATTCTAAGAAATAGCGTGACAAAAAATTTTGCAAATTTTCTTTTTTTTTTACAGCCCACGGACTTATAAAAATTTTTTTCAGCTAAGCCATTGCATGGACCAGATAGCTTGTTTATTCAGCTTCAATTTCCTTTTTTTTAATTTCGATACGACTATTTTTCATCGAAATTGTGGACTTTTAATGGAAAAGATGAAAAATTTTAGTGGATCCTTTTGTTTTTAATCATCAATATCTCGGCGACAAATAGTCGTACAGAGAATTAGAATTGAAGGGCAGTTTCCAAAATTGGAATAAATTTCCTATAACATGCTGCCGAAATTTTTTGGAAAAACAGGAGAAAGGGTAATTTATGGTTTTTTAGAAAATTGACGGATGAAGTAAGAAATATTCACAAAATGACTAATGTTAAGCATGACTTTTACAGTTCGATATACCCAGAAGAACCCTGTGAAGTTTCATCTCGATCTAGCGATCCATTTCTTTGTTTCAAGCAGTCAAACTTTTGAAAAAAATTTAAGGGTCACGTTTTTTGAGCTTACTTCGTAATCATTATTAAAATGAAAAAAAAAAAAATTATTTTGAGGTTTTTTCATATTTTTAACTGCAAATAACGTTTATATTGATGAAAAAAAAAAACAACTTATATTTCGAAATTTTTTTTTAAAGAAAAAGGGTAGTTTTGACAAAAACTGTTTAAATTGATGAAAAAATAAATAAAAAATTTCGAAAAAATTTTCGAAATTTTTGAAATTTTTTTGTTTTTTGGAAAACCTTCCAGACACTGAAGAAAACAAAATCCAATTGTTTCCCGCACGATTTGAATTTTCCGTCCTATGCTTTTTAATTAAATTACAATTAAAGTTGATGGCCAAACCAGATTTCGACCCCGATTCATACCATTTTTTGAGACAAATTTCTAATTAATTTTTGTGCAGTCTGTAATCACTTAAAAAACAAGTTTTTTTTAAACTACCCTTTTTCTTCTCTGAAAAAAAATTTCTTAAATTTTTTTTGGGGTTTTGTCACATTTTTAATGTTTAAATTGATGCAAAAAAAAAATTTTAACCATTTTTTTGTCGCGCTATTTAGCATTGCATGATAACCGTAGCTTCCTAATTCTTACTGAAAAATCTAAAAACTAGAATCTTAGAGATTCAAAATGCTTTTTTTTAATTCCCGATACGACCATTTTTCACCTAATACAGTCTGTCAAAAAGCACAGAAAAATGTAGGAAATTCTTTCGATCCCTTATTTTTTTGCATTAGTTTAGACAAACTTTTTTCGTTAATTTGTGGCATAGAATATGTTCTAAAATAGGGCCAAATGCTTTAGTTACACCTTGTGCATAATTTTTTTAATTCGACTTCTATAAAGAAATATTTCGAACAAAAGATATCAGGTCTTGAATCAAGGTCATTTCAAGGCCAACCTTGATTTTTTAAAATGGAAACCCATATTTTGACAGTTTTATAAAATATGTATTCTTTCCAGCAGAACATGAAACTATACTAAAATTATGGGTTTCTATTTAAAAAATCAAGATCGACCTTGAAATGACCTCGATAATTCACTTCAAGGTTAATTTCAAGGTCATGGTAATTGGATCCCCCGAAGCTTGACAACTTTTTTCGGAAATATTATTATTATTCACCATCTTGCATGTTTCTTGAGAATTAAAGTGAAACAGTAAAAGTATAGTGCACTCTGGCGAGAGAACGACGCATTTTCAAAAAAATGTTTCATACAAAAGCCAAGTATTTTTCCCGCAGAATACGATCTGCGATAACAAATACGGGTTTCCATTTAAAAAATCAAAGTTGACCTTGATAATTGACTTCAAGGTGACCATAATTTGACCCCTCCAAACATGATAACTTTTGTTCGAAACATTTTTTTCAAGTCAAATGGGTACATTAAAATGGTACACCCTGTACAACCACATCCCCATCAATCTCTGTTAGTTCTAAAATTTTAAAGAATCTACCAAATTTACGTACAATCCTGCCGTTTTAAACCCAAATGTTATAAGTACAATTTTTTTCAAATGTTTAAATTAAACTATTTCTTCCGCTACAATTTTTTCTATTATACAAATATTTATAAACTATTTTTTTTTTCAGTTATTAAATAAACGCGTCATAAAAAACTTAACCAAACCTATTTTGTTAATTACGTTATTGGGAATTAACACGGCAGAATCTCTCTTACAAAAAAACTTACATCCATAAGGGTTGGTAGACTTGAACTGCACCTCGACGGGAAAATTGAGCACTATCTTTTCCCCGTTGGTCACGACGTTGGCGACCTGGGACAACCCCGCCTCCAGTCCGCCAATAAGTTTCCAGTCCGGCCCGGAGAAGAACTCGTACTTGCAATACCAAGAGGAACCAGACGGGGCCAAAATGTTCAACCACTCAATCTGACCAGAGATTGAGACCAAAAATGTACCATCTGACATACTGTCAATTTGTGGGATTGTTTGCGTTGTTTGATTCGTGATCGCCGTGGTTACGGTACAACCAAAACAGTGGGGTTGAGTGATGGATTGATTTAACTATTTTTACTCTATTTCAAAGGTGTCAAGTTAGTTAGGACGAATTCAAACAATTTTTTCAGAAAAAATCTTATCAAATGAAGACAAACAGCAGTTTTCCTTACTAGAAATCTTGAACAAACAATTTTTCGAAATGGTTTATTATCAGCATGCGTTAATAGTGGTAATAAACAAAACTACCCAACTACTACCACCACCGCAATCCGGATAAGTGCCGAAAGATAACGGACAAGTCTTCGATGCGGGAAATGAAAAAAAAGTCACAACATTGAAAATGAATATTTACTTACATGAACTTGCTATAATACAATGACTTATACGTTAGTTAGATTCTAAACCGAGTATAAATAAATAATTGGGTGGGGAAACATTATTTTACAAGAAAAGAATGCGACTGTACAAATAAAAAGCACAGCACTACGGAGGAAGATAAAAAAATTCAGACTCCGCCCAATTCACAGGCCTGCTTCGATGTATAAAGCTGGAAAACTGAAAAAATTCCATCCTTACATAGACATTTATTTAAATTTAATTTGAAATTACACCGTATATATGCGATAATAAAGTAACATTTACCCTATAACGTACAATCTCATTACAGGCATCAATAGTTTTCTTTGGCAGTTATCCATTATTATATAAGAATAAAAAATATACAAGTCGCGATGCGAGGTACCCACGATATAAAAAAAATAAAAAAAGATTCAGTTCCATTCTCAATTATGCAACCAGTATCGCACCGTTCGTGTAATACGAGTCACTGCTTGCCACAAGATATGCAACCAGTATTACCGTTCGTGTAATGCGGGCGACGGACTGCTACTACGGTTAACGTAGATTGATTATGCAACCCACATTGCGAATTCATGCAATGCGGGTTGCGGTTTGCGACCAAGACTAATTCCGTAAAGGTAAAATCAATAAGTGATTTTACGTCATCGCTAATAGGTACCTGCACCACTCGCAACAGCCACGGAAGATTCCAACGAACAAGTAAACCATCGTGGACGCTGCATTTCCTACATAACTACATACTTACTGAAAATATCCATTCAGTATTAAATTTACAGTGCATCCTTAAAACATATATTTATACAATATTCAAAATTTAAACACCTATTAATTGTTTCGGGGCGCCAATCTACAAAATTAAGAAGAATGAGGATCTTGTAGATTACGTCCGTAATGAGTAATTAATTATCTATAATCGTATCACGTAATCAATATACAGGGTGTGTCACAAAACTTTACAAGAGGCATACAACTTTCGGAGGAAAAAGAACGTCTCGCTGTATATATATTTTTTTAACGAAAAATAAACGCTGGGTTAAACGAATCACCTAAAGTGATAGATCTCCCCCGTCACAGTAACAATCCCCGTTAAGTTTATTCGACTTATATATCAACCTCACTATAAAAAGAGCATATGGCTTTTATAAAAATCACACTAGAAAAAGTCTCTGAAAATACACAACGTTACGGTAAGTGACAATTTAAAAAATAAATGCGGCGGAAAAAAAGACGTCTCGTCTTATTGTACTTGAAACGGGGCCGTTCCAGACAACGAAATCGGTGACGGACGGTCCCCGTGTTCACTTTTTTTTAGTTTAAATCTCTTGTCACGGAACAGCATGTGAGCAATACAGTTTACGAGTTTGAGGTTACGTTATAAAATTCAAGAATGTTATGAAGTTTGTTCCCATTATTTACTATTTAAATTCTCAGCTAACATCAACTTTTATCAGTATCGCGGCTACTAGTTTATGCGTTTAGAGTGCCTAGTCGGAATCGCGTCGATTCAGAGCGCTACTAGAAAATGGAATGGCAATCGTCAGTCGGATTCGTTTGGAAAGTCGCTAACGTGTTGCACCCTTTTTGGTACAAATAGTAAACACGTTTTGATCGGCAGAATTTCCAAAATTCTGAAAACATTCCATTAATAAAAAAGCATTGAATATTTTCTGTTTTCAAAGCAAAGTTTTGCTCAAAACATGGTCAAATGCTAAATTTTGAGACTAAATTCGAAATTTCGAGTTTGCACTTCAAATTTTGCAAATTTCAATTTCAAATTTGAAATTTTGAGTTAACTGAAATTTTCGGTTTAAATTCAAAATTTTGAGGTTAAACATGGAATTTGAGTTAATCCCGTAAACTGGTTCTTGTAAAAAAGTGAAAATTTTGCATTTAAGAGAGCTCTATAGCAAATAGGCAACCAGCAATACATTTTTATAGATTTTATTACACAGCTTGTCTAAATATGAATTAATGCACAAATAAGAGACTTTGTTTCATTTTAATGCAGATTTTATATAAAATGGAGTTAGGTTGAAACTCAAATTACTTTTTACCGCTTTTGAACAAGCGGCATCGTAAATTACAAATTTCTTTACACCAAAATATAATTTGAGTTTCAAACTAAGTTCATTTTATAGAAAATCTGCATTAAAATGAGGGAAAGTCTGTTACTTGTGCATTAATTCATATTTAGACAAAATGTGTAATAAAATCTATAAAAATGTATTGCTGGTTGCCTATTTGCTATAGAGCCCTATTAAACAGAAAAATTTCAAGTTTGAACTCAAAATATCGAGTTCAAACTTGAAATGTTTAGTTTAAATACAAAATTTTGAGTTCTAACTTGAAAATTTCTAGTTCTAGTTCATCTTGAAAAATATAAATTTTGAGTTGCAAGATGAAATATTGCATTCTAACATGAATTTTAGAGTTTCAACCAGTACTTATGAGTTTCAGATCGAACAATATTTTCTTGTAAGTTGAAAATTCTTGTAGAATATTGCAAATTTGAATTCTGAGTTTGATTTATTGAATTTGAACTCAAATTTAGTATTAATGCAAAATTTTGAGTTCAAAATTGAAATTTGCATTGAAATTTTCGAGTTTTGAGTTTGAATTATTGAGTTTAGACTCAAATTTAGTGACTATCTTACACTAATCCGGTTTCCAGTCCGAATTTTTCAACTCGGACTGGAAATTTTCAGTCCAACCTCAAAGTTTTGCGTTTGAACTCAAACTTTAGAGTTCAAAATCGAAATTTCGAGTTAAAACACAAATATTTGAGTTACACACAAATATTATTTGAGTTTAAAATTCCTTCGTGAATTTTGAAAATTTGAATTTTGAGTTTAAATTATTCTCTTTGAACTCAAATTTAGAAACTATCTTGAAATTTCAAGCTTCAATTGGAAAATATTGAAATTTGCATTTAGAATACGAATATTTTATATTTGAATTTGAAATTCCTTATTCAATATTGAAATTTTCGACTTTTGAGTTTGAATTATTGAGTTTAAACTCAAATTTAGTCACTATCTTGAATTGTTCAACTCGGACTGGAAATTTTCAGTCCAACCTCAAAGTTTTGCATTTGAACTTAAAATTTTGTGTTCAAATCGAAATTTCGAGTCAAAACGCGAATATTTTATATTTGACTTTAAAATTTGTTATCAAATATTGAAATTTTCGAGTTTTGAGTTTGAATTATTAAGTTTATACTCAAATTTAGTCACTATCATGAATTTTTCAACTTGGACTGAAAATTTTCAGTCCAACCTCAAAGTTTTGCATTTGAACTTACAATTTTGTGTTTAAAATCGAAATTCCAAGTCAAAACACGAATATTTTATATTTGAGTTTGAAATTCGTTATTGAATATTGAAATTTTTGAGTTTTGAGTTTCAATTATTGAGTAAACTTAAATTTAGTAACTATCTTGGAATTTCAAGCTTCAATTGGAAGTCTGCAGTTCAATTTCGAAATCTTGTGTTTTGACACAAAATTTTGAGTTCATATTCAAAACTTCGACAAATGCCTATTTAAATTTTAAATTTTGAGCTTGATTTTTTGTGTTTGAGCTCAAAATTTACTAACCGAAATTTCAAAAATGAATGGAAGGTCAAAAATTGCCGGAAATAACCCACAGATGGCGCCACAAACAAAAAATCCATATGTGTTAGATAGTGCCAATCTTCAAAAGTTTCATGACATTTCGACAATCGACACTTATTCCTGGGACTTTTTGGCCGACATGTTACAATCTCAAAATTTTGCTTGTTTAAATGCAGAATTCAAGTCCGTAATTTGTTTTATTTGTTTCAGACGTTGAAGAGTTTACATTCTCCGAATGGTAAAATGCTAAAATTTCGGAAAATTTATCAAAACGAGTTACTATTTCAAATAGGGTGCTCGAACCGTTCCCGCTTCACGTTAAATTATCTAACTAAATGGTAATGCATCCTCCGAGATCACGATCCATAACGGTATTATACAAAACTCGTATAATTTAGCATAGAAATGGCACGTCTTTCTACCTGCACACCATACTCTCAACCGGCATCCAGAACATTAAAAAAAATCAACATAAAAATATCTTCTAAAAAAAAAAACAAAACAATTATCCACCTATTTCTGCACTGCCTGCATTTCCCAATAAGAAACCAAAAACAAATAAAGAAACCTTACAACTCGGTCACAGCGTACAACTGGCGTTCACTCTCACTGTTGGCGTACATCGCCTCGTTCTGCGCCTGGTCCTGGATCTTGGCGGACCGGAACTGCGAGTGAGACGGCTGCGACGACATGCCCCTCTGCAACGACCTGAACTGCACGTTCGGCTGGAAGGTGCTCATGGTGTCCTGCCAGGCGCCCCTCTGCAACGACCGGAAGTTGGCCGGGTTGAGGGGGGTCTCGATGTTCTGCGAGATGGTGGTGGGCACCTTGGGCATGGGCGGCTGCTTGCGCGCCTTCTCGTCGGGCGTTTGCGGGAGGGGGCGGCGCCCCAGGGAGCTGTACTTCTGAATGTTGGCGGTGCGTTGCTGCTTTTGGGGCTCCGCCGTCTGGTGAACGGCCTGTTGCTGGCGCTGATCGAACTTAAAACCTTTGAAGTTTGGGAATTCCTTGCAGGCAGCCCTAAGGAGTGCTTTGTATAAAAAAATGTGTGTGTTTTCAGCAAATAAAAATAAAAATATTCAGAGTTGAGGTATTTTTCTTTAAAGGGATGTAGAACTTGTAAAAATAAGCCGTTTTACCAAAAACACCTTTCTAAAAGTTGTAAAACAATGAAGATACCTTGAAGAATTTTATAAAATTTGCATGACAATGGGACTAGTCTTCATGGTCGATGTGGCAGAATGTCAATCCGAGCATAAAAAGTATTTCCCCGAGTTGTAGTTTTTTGTTCTAAGGCTTTTCTTAGACGATGGCACACGGTTAAAAAACAACGAACATGTTTTTAATTTACAAGGAGTGTCAACAAAGTCATCCCGCTTTTACAATGAAAAATTTATATTATGGAATCATCCAACACTGCAAACATGTAACTTTAGCTATTAAATTTTCCTCAAAAATCAAGATCAAGACGTTTGACCTACTTTTTGTCTATTGTTACCAACTTCTCTGAATCTCGGAATCTCTACTTTTACTGAATTTACCCAATTATCGTAGTTCAATTTTCTCGAAAATCTAGCGTAGGACATCTGAACTACTTTTTGTCTATCATTACCAACCTTTCCCGAATCTCTTAGATGAATCAGTGTATCGAGATGCTGATTTGATGTCTATCGTTCTCTGCTTTTACTGAATCTCTGAAATGAATCAATACATCGAGATACTGGTTTTTTACAGTTCGATTATAATTAAAAGTAGAGATTGGTACAACTGAACTATTTTTTGTTTATCATTATCTACTTTTACTGAATCTCTTAAATAAATTAATATATCAATATTCAGTTTTTACTGTTCAATTTTTCCTGAAAATCAAGCTTGGGACATCTGACCTACTTTTTGTCTATCATTACCGAGTTTTACTGAATCTCTTAAATGAATCAACGTATCGAGATGCTGATTTGCTGTTCAATATTTCTTGAAAATTGAGCTTGAGACATCTATGCTACTTTATGTCTAACCTTACCTACTTTCAGTGAATCTAAATATTTATCAAAATTCAATTTTTCTTGAAAATCGAACTGAGGACATCTAAACTACTTTGTGTCTATCATAATCTGCTTCTACTGAATCGCTTAAATAAATCAATACATCGAGATATTACTTCTGTAGTTCAGTTATCCTCAAAAGTCGAGATTGGGACATGTAAACTATTTTTTGCCTATTATTACCTACTTTTACTGAATCTCTTAAATGAATCAACACATCAATATGCAGTTTTTACTGTTAATTTTTTTTTAAATTGGGTGGGACCTATGACCTACTTTTTGTCTATTATTACCAACTCTTCTGAATCTCTGAATGACGTGAATCACGATATTGAGATGCAGTTTTGTCATTCAACTTTCCTCGAAAACACTGTTCTGACTATTCTTACATAGTTTCACTGAATTTACGTAAATATCGTAGTTTAATTTTCTCAAAAATCAAGCTTGGAACATCTGAACTATTTTTTGTCAATCATTGCCTACTTTTACTGAATCTCTTAAATGAATCAATACATCAATGCAGTTTTTGCTGTTCAATTTTTCTCAAAAGTCGAGTTTGGGACATTTGACCTACTTTTTGTGTACTATTACCAACTTCTCTGAATCTCTGAATGAAGTTAATCAAGATATTTAAGATGCAGTTTTTGTCATTCACCTTTCCACGAAAACACTGTTCTGATTATTCTTACGTAGTTTTACTGAATTTATGTAATTATTGTAGTTTAATTTTCTCAAAAATTAAGCTTGGCACAAATGAACTATTTTTTTCATTACCCACTTTTACTGAATCTCAAATGAATCAATATGCAGTTTTTATTGTTCAATTATTCTCAACAATCGAGTTTGGAGATCCGAACTACTTTTTGTCTTTTACCTACTTTTACTTAATCTATACAATTTTTGTTGAAAATCAGGCTCATTACATTTGAACTACCTTTGCCTATATTTACCTAGTTTTATTGACCCTCTTAAATGGATCGAAATTAAGTTTTTGCCATTCCTTTTTTTTAAACGTCAGAGCTCCATACATTTGAACTACATTTGATGTATTACTATCTACTTTTACCTTATCTCTCAAATAGATCAAGAAATCGTGATGTGGTTTTTGGAATTGAATTTTTTTAAGATCAAGCTCGGGACATCTGAACTACTTTTTGTCATCTACCTACTTCTACTGAATCTAAACAGTCATCACCATTCAATTTTTGTTGAAAATCGAGCTCATGATATCTGAACTACCTTTGTCTATATTTTCCTACGTTTACCGGCTCTCTTAATGGACCAAATTACAATTTTTGCAATTTTTTTTTATTGTCAGAGCTCCATACATTTGAACTACATTTGGTGTATCCAGTATCTACTTTTACCTTATCTCTTAAATAGATCAAGAAATCGAGATGCGGTTTTTGCCATTTAATTTTTCGAAACAGTCAAACTCGGGACATCTGAACTACTCGTGTTCTATTGTTCAATTCAATCACTCAATTTTACTCAAATGTTGAGCATAGGACGTTCTAGGTACTATTTGTCTTATCATTTCCGATAAAACAAAGAAACTACCCAAAAGAATCGAAATTGCTTTTTTAGCCCCGAGGAAGGTATCGAAACAAATCGAAAAGTCAACCTAGTAATTTTTAACCTAAAAACACCTTAAAAATTTTTAGGAGATTTTGGGCTGACACTTGAGTACAACGTGTGACTATTTACCTATCTCAGTAGAAATCCGAACTCTCTAACGTCTTGCACTGCTTGCTGAGAGTGGCGTACTTTCCGTTGTTGGGTCCTGAGAAAGACTGGTCGTGGTGGTGGGATGGCAATCGGCCTAAGGTGTGGCCCCTCAGGTGGGACATGTGGGCACCCCGATGGTGTTCGGACGGTCGCATGTCACATCCATCGCTGTAACGGTCAAAATATTACCAACCGGAAGTGTACCATTCGAAGGTAACATTAAATACGATGAGAATGATTTTAGACACAATGATTTCGAGGTTTAGATCAACACTGAGTGATATTTAAATAAAAAATATCTGTATGATTCAGATATGGCTATTTAGGAGGCTGTTCTATAAATTTACGATGTTTAAAAGAAAAGAGTAAAAAATTCAAGTGGTTGACACATTATAAACATCAACAAATTAACTTGGCAAATGTATTTGTTTCTAGGAAAACGTTTTAATAAAAATAGTTCAAATCTGGCGTGTTACACGGCCACTGAGGTTTAAATTCATACCGAAGGATGTTACTTAAATTGAAATTGCCTAAAGGATTCAGATATGGCAATTTAGGAGGATACTTTACAAATTTACGGGTGTTTTAAAGAAAACAGTAGAAATTTAAGTTCTTTACTGACTATGTACAAATAAATTGACAAATGTAAGAAAATAACAATAAAAATAGTTCAACGGGTTCAAATCTGGCTTGTACACGGCTACTGAAGTTAAAATTAATACCGAGCAATATTACTTAAATCAAAAGAAACAGATTCAAATATGGCAATTCGAGAGGTTACTCTATAAATTTACAAGCATTACAAAGAAAACAGTAAAAATTCTCATGTTCCTGACTGACCATTAACATTAACAAATGAAATTTGCAATCGTGTTTGTTTCTAACGAAATATCTAGGAAAAAAGAGTTCGATGGGTTCAAATCTGGCATGTTACACGGCCGTTCGTTATCTAGAAACCAAACGACTTGAATAGTGAAATAATTATGTAAAAAAAACAAAATTTATGAATAAGGTGAATGACAAACAACTATGATTTCTTTTCCCACTTCATTCCACAACTACCAGCTCTAGCAAAGTGAAAAAAGACGTATAAAAATAAGCGAGTCACCAATTACATGCCTTTCTATAGTACACGAAAGGAACAAAATAAAAAAATTTCCCCATTCCAAAATAAAGAGATTAAGTAATAAAAAAGCTAAAAAAAAAGAGAAAATAATCAATTATTTGAAGAAACATAAAATAGTTCGTACGACAATAAATATTTTTTTATCCGAATACAACTTTCCAAAGAAATCCGTCTCTATATCGAAACAAAAGAAATTTAAAAGAGACTTGCGGACCAGATTACATTTACGCCATATACCGAAGTGAAAGCATTACTTAGGAGCTAAACGCTAAGAAAAAAAAATAAAAAAATCTAATACAGTAATAAGTCAGCTTCATGCGTGGGGGGAGCCGAGGCATGCGCCGATCGGTTATGCATCAAGGCAGACGTGTAGCTAGGCGGAGGGGTATCGGGAGGATAAGACAACCCTTGGCTGCGTTGCAGGGTCCGGGCGGCGATCGCCTGGCTGGCCTGGGGCGGCGGCAGGTACGGGTCGTTCTCGTTCACTTGATGGTAGTCCTTCCTGCAAAAAATAATTACGTACTATTTTATACGGAGTTAAAAGCGACATTTTTTGTGTCGAGAATTCCCTTTTGGGAACCGCCGACACGAGAAAACCCGCTCGAGAGCGGAAGTAGGACTTTTATTGCCGATCTAGTGACAAGTTCAGTTCCCAAAATTTGTTTTTTTGATGACGTTTGAAAAAACAAAATTAGAAAGGCAAAACACTAAGGAGTAGAGTCATTGCAGAAATTGTAATGTGCTGTTAATTTCACATAGTGTTCAGATAAAATGTTCAACCCACACGCACCCACTTGCAACGTTTTATTGTACAGTCGTTTACTTCTATCTTTAATTAAATTGTACAAAAAGACAGATCACTCAGTTTCCGGCTAATTCTCGTCAGTGCTCGTAAGCGTACGAGTGGGAAAGACTTGTTATTTTCACATTTTATACAGGGTGATTCAGTCATAATGTCATTAATTTGAACCACGTATTCAGAAGGCTTAATAATTCTTAATTTTTTACTCGACTTTTAAAAATGAAGGAAATCAACCCATAACTCCCGCTAATAGGGCGGCTCTGCCAGATGCTCGGATGCTCTGAAAATTTTGTAACGTAATGGCATGAACAAATCGTCAGCTGAAGCGAACAGCGTCGCCAAATTCACATCATAATCTGTGGTTCACATTTAATTAATCCGCTTTAGTATACGGATACATATGTATGAAACCGATAAAATGCAAGTAAATAAAGGATCATGCTGCATTTTATTATAACTAATTTTAATAATTGTATTAACTTAGTGCAAAATGTTTTAACAAACCTGACTTCTTGAAGTCAACTTTCGATGAAAGAAAATAAATAAAGCAGAGGTTTGTAGGCACACCGTATTTTATCAAATAAAAAAAGTCAGCACACTAATTACCCGAATATACAAAGGACACTGCATACGGTTACAAAACCATCACCTAACAATTTAAAACGTTTATTCAAATCTACCACCCTCCATATCTCCCGCATTTTTCCCGCAAAGGAGTTAACATAACACATTTTCAAAAAGATCAAGCTTTAGAAGCAACTAATTTCCCCAATCGTCTTGAATTTTGCAATTGGTTCCTAAATCGAAGTGTAGCAGAACTTTATTAACAAAGTGCTCTGGACAGATGAATGCTGTTTTACTCGTGCTGGCATTTTAAACAGGCAAAAAACATAAGTATTGCTTTCTCAAAAACAATAAATACCTACCTAGGTTACTCCAAAGTTTAGATTTACACTAAAGTTTACATTTATTATGTGAACTTTGGTTATACACAACTGGATATTGAATAATAAATTGAAATACTAAAACTGTGTATTATTTAACATAATAAATTATAAAACGTGATAACGTTAATAATATTAAAAATGATAAATTGCAATAACCGTACATTGGAAAACAATCATCCCTATTCATTGACAACTTTTTGCTCTACTTTGCATGGAATACGATCCTACTACAGTTCGTATTAATCTAGCAGCCAGATCAGGTTCCGTGTACTAGCTATAAAAATAAACTTTTTACAGGCATTCAAACATTTAATTTGTTGATAACAATTAAACTGACCACTTTCAGGCTTTGCGACCAAGTTTTTTGGATTCAGGAGGTCAAATTACTTTGGAATAAGTTGTTTGCAGCCGTGGCACTCCGATTGGCAACGGAACCCTGTCTGGCTCCTACACTAAAGTGTACATGCAAATTAGAAAGTTAGTGACCTCGACACAGGTTAGTCAAGGTCGGAAACACGTACCGAGTTGTTTATTTGTCTCCGTCTGATTGTATTTTTATCTTCTATTACTTACAGTCAATATTTAAATGCTACATACATTTCACCCTCTCTTTATAATTTATCTAGCGAGTGTTGGTTTTTTATGTCATTATTTCTGTAATGAAATCGAAATGGTTATGAAATGAAATTTAAATTATTTGAACTCTTGGAATTTTGTAACTTCAATATAAAATTTTATTTAAAGTGAAACAGAGCTAATTTCTTTGCAGCCATAATAGTCACATTTGGTCAGATGAAAACCTGCACACTACTCGTCGGTTTAGCTTTCAGAGNATGGCAATCGTCAGTCGGATTCGTTTGGAAAGTCGCTAACGTGTTGCACCCTTTTTGGTACAAATAGTAAACACGTTTTGGTCGGCAGAATCTTCAAAATTCTAAAAACTTTCCAAAAAAAAAACATTGAATATTTTCTGTTTTCAAAGCAAAATTTTGCTCAAAACGCTCAAATGCTAAATTTTGAGACTGTATTTGAAATTTCGAGTTAATAATTGAAATTTTCGGATTAAATTCAAAATTTTAAGGATAAGCATAAAATTTGTGAAAAAGTGAAAATTTTGCATATAAGAGGGCTCTATAGCAAATAGACAACCAGCAATACATTTTTATAGATTCAACTCGGACTGGAAACTTTCAGTCCAACCTTAAAGTTTTGCATTTGAACTTAAAATTTTGTGTTCAAAATCGAAATTTCGAGTCAAAACACAAATATTTTATATTTGAGTTTGAATTATTGAGTTTAAACTCAAATTTAGTCACTATTTTGAATTTTTCAACTCGGACTGAAAATTTTCAGTCCAACCTCACAGTTTTGCATTTGAATTTAAAATTTTGTGTTCAAAATCGAAATTTCGAGTCAAAACACAAATATTTTATATTTGAGTTTGAATTATTGAGTTTAAACTCAAATTTAGTCACCATCTTGAATTTTTTAACTCGGACAGGAAATTTCCAGTCCAATCTCAAAATTTTGCCATTGAACTTAAAATTTTGTGTTCAAAATCAAAATTTCGAGTTAAAACACCTATATTTTATATTTGAGTTTGAAATTCCTTATCGAATATTGAAATTGTTGAGTTCTGAGTTTGAATTATTGAGTTTAAACTCAAATTTAGTCACCTATCCTGAATTTTTCAGTCCAACTTCAAAGTTCTGCATTTGAACATAAAATTTTGTGTTCAAAATCGAAATTCCGAGTTAAAACACGAATATTTTATATTTGAGTTTGAAATTCCTTATCGAATATTGAAATTTTCGAGTTTTGAATTTGAATTATTGAATTTAAACTCAAATTTAGTCACTATCATGAATTTTTCAACTTGGACTGAAAATTTTCAATCCAACCTCAAAGTTTTGCATTTGAACTTAAAATTTTGTGTTCAAAATCGAAATTCCGAGTTAAAACACGAATATTTTATATTTGAGTTTGAAATTCCTTATCGAATATTGAAATTTTCGAGTTTTGAATTTGAATTATTGAATTTAAACTCAAATTTAGTCACTATCATGAATTTTTCAACTTGGACTGAAAATTTTCAATCCAACCTCAAAGTTTTGCATTTGAACTTAAAATTTTGTGTTCAAAATCGAAATTCCGAGTTAAAACACGAATATTTTATATTTGAGTTTGAAATTCCTTATCGAATATTGAAATTTTCGAGTTTTGAATTTGAATTATTGAATTTAAACTCAAATTTAGTCACTATCATGAATTTTTCAACTTGGACTGAAAATTTTCAATCCAACCTCAAAGTTTTGCATTTGAACTTAAAATTTTGTGTTCAAAATCGAAATTCCGAGTTAAAACACGAATATTTTATATTTGAGTTTGAAATTCCTTATCAAATATTGAAATTTTCGAGTTTTGAATTTGAATTATTGAATTTAAACTCAAATTTAGTCACTATCATGAATTTTTCAACTTGGACTGAAAATTTTCAATCCAACCTCAAAGTTTTGCATTTGAACTTAAAATTTTGTGTTCAAAATCGAAATTCCGAGTTAAAACACGAATATTTTATATTTGAGTTNGTTTTGTAACTTCAATATTAAATTTTATTTAAAGTGAAACAGAGCTAATTTCTTTGCAGCCATAATAGTCACATTTGGTCAGATGAAAACCTGCACACTACTCGTCGGTTTAGCTTTCAGAGGAGATTCGGTGTCAATGTACGGGCAGGAGTATATGGCAATCGTTTAATTGGGCCACATTTTCTACCTGAACATCTGAATGGGCCGCGTTACTTTCAATTTTTAGTAGATGGCTTACAGTAAATTACAAAATTATCACTATGATGTCAATAAAAAATTATTTTTGGCAAGACATGCTCAGACCTCCTCGAGGTTCTTGCTGGGCAACAATAACAATTTAATGTGTTGATTGCATAATTATAAAAAATAATTTATAGCATTTTAAATTATTATTGGCTGACGTGAGCAAAGCGTTTGTCTTTATATGTGCGAAAATATATAAATATGGCAACGTAGCATCTAGGGCGCGTTGTTCATATCGTAGCCGTGCTCAAATTCTGAACAAGCGATTGACGTCAGCCGGTCAGTAACAGCCNTTGCATAAATAAAAAATAATTTATAGCATTTTAAATTATTATTGGCTGACGTGAGCAAACCGTTTATTTATTGTCTGTATATGAGCGAAAATATGTAAATGTGGCAACGTTGCATCTAGGGCGCCTTGTTCATATCGTAGCCGGCTGACGTCAGCCGGTCAGTAACAGCCTGAAAAGGGGGTTAAATAATGATTTGAAAATAATTTTTTACAGCTTAAATATGCATTTAATTTTTTTTTAATCCCGCCGTCGTATTATATTCATTTTTCTCTATCTGCTCTTAAAATTAATGACATTATGACTGATCACCCTGTATATTCAAACAAGTGTTAAAAATAAATTATAACCAACAAAATTCACACTTACTTCTTTCTGATGTAGATCCAGGTGTGCGAGTCGACCCAAACCAGGGCGGTGAGCAACAGTCCAGCTAGAACGGCCGACGCCAGCATCAGCGTCAGCCCTAACAATCCCACGTTGCACAGGGCCCTCGCCCCCCTCAGATAATGCATGTGCAACGACCTACAATCCACGAGTGCCGTCAACGAATGTATGAAATTGTCCGCAGCGTTGATATCGTTCTTCAGCGAGCTGAACTTCGTGTCCAGCCCCTTTTTCGGGAACAGGTACTGTGCCGGCTTGCTCAACGGGTTCAAGTTGTTCCTCATGTTTTCAATGGTGGTCTTGGCCTCTCTAAGTCGTTGGGTGAACGGATTGGCCCTGGCTCGTTCGCAGTTCGTGTAGTACTTCAATATCTCCTTGGAGAGATCGGTGGAGGCCTGGTCTTCGATGAACTTGTCCGGGGCCATGCAGAGATCGCCCAGGGCGACGCTGGAGGCCAGGTAGACGCTAGCCATCAGGTAAGAGGCTATCACCGCCAGTAGACCGCACACGGAAAAGGCTATGAGGGCGCAGCGGTTGTGGCGAGCTATGCCCACCAGGAGGATCACGCAGAGGATGAGGAGGACGCTGAGGATGGCCATGGTGCAGGGCCACCGTATCGCCTCTATTTTCTCGCCCAGGATGATCTTGGGGGCGAGGTTCAGGCCGACCAGGGGCTGTCGGATGTCGGCGGCGGCGTTGGCCGCCATGGTGTTGTTGCCTGCGAGGAAATATATCGATGGACATCATTCATATAAAAGTAAATTTTATTTATACGCATTTTTTTTTGTTGAGAGGGCTCTATAGCAAATAGGCAACCAGCAATACATTTTTACAGATTTTATTACACAGTTTGTCTAAGTATGATATAATGCACAAATAACAGACTTTCCCCCATTCTAACGCAGATTTTCTATACAATGGACTTACTTTGAAACTCATATTACTTTTTGTTGCTAAGAAATTTGTAATTTACGATGCAAATTACAAATTTCTTTACAACGAAAATAAATCTGGGTTTCAAACTAATTCCATTTTATAGAAAATCTGCGTTAGAATGGGGGAAAGTCTGTTATTTGTGCATTAATTCATATTTAGACAAACTGTGTAATAAAATCCATAAAAATGTATTGCTGGTTGCCTATTTGCTATAGAGCCCTCTTAAATATATAATTTTTTGTTTAATATTACAGCGAGATACTGCAAACACTGAATAAATAAAAGTTATAAAATAAAAATTATAAGTGAACAGAATACGATAAGAAATAATTAAAACACAATTAAAAATCACATAAAATCAACAAATTTACAAAAGACGATTTAATTTATTTATAAAAAATTCCATACGCCACAGTGCAATTGTCACTTTGACAGCAGCAAAAGTTACCTGCAACTTTTACAGTGACAAATGCACTAGTGCTTTTTTCACTTACTCATTTTTCAATCAATTATTACGGTGTCAGCCGCCGAAATAAATAGTTTGACATTATTGTCAACAACTTACTGAATTATTAAACGGCGGTGAGTCTACGAACAACGAAATTAGACAAATTGTTAATATCTACGTGCCTGCTAATACAGTTGCGACTCAATCATCAATTTGGCGACAATTTTCTAGTTTTTGCGATGCGAAAGGATATAAATTTGAGCCAGATAACTCCATCGAGAAATTGAAACTAATATTGCAAGATTGGGCATTTAATATGCGAAAATGTGACGGAAAAGACTACAAAGAAGCGGTAGTTAAAACAATTTCGAACGCCACCGATACTAAAACATAAAATCCTACAAGCACAACCCGAAAAGAGAAAATCCAGTGCATCAGATCTTAATAAATGTGAAGTATTTGCAATGGCCAGATTATATGACAAAAATGAACCGGAAGGACAACAAAAGAAATTATATCACATTTTAGCGTTTGAATTAGCTTGGAGGGGAGGAGAAGCAACTTACTGCAAAACCGCTTATTTCGTATCTGAAATAGAAAATAATCCTCTATTTTCGAAAACGGGACAAGGCGGTGATAATAAATTATGTGACAGCAAATGGATTACGCTTAATATTTTAGAGGGAGATATTTGCCCAGTACGCTTATTTAAAAAGTTGATGGAAAAACGAGGCACTTCCGTAATATTTCTTACACCAAATCCCTTTTGGAAGAAGAAAAATTCTAAAGGTTGGTATAAAAATGTGTCGATTGGAATTAATGAAATTTCCAAATTGACTAAATGCTCAGCACAACGCATTGGTATAGATGTCAAACGTGTCAAAATTTCAAATCACTCAAATCGAGCGGGAACAGTCAGCGAATTAAGTAAAAGCGGAATAGAAGACTCTAATAAAAATAACAGAACACAGCAATTCATCATCAATAAAACCATACTTACAAGTTGACAAAGAGCATCATTCGAGCATTATTCAATCGATTCGTTTGGAAAAAAAAACAAAGTTCAACATCTATTACAGAAACGATGAGCTGTGGCACCCATAGCGACATTAGTATTCCTCGTATGAATTTCAATAACTGCGTTATGGTGGCCCAATTTTTTTTTTTTTTTCATGTTTAATATTTAGTTTGTCATGTTTTAAGAGCCCCCTCAAAAAATCAGCTCAAAAAATATTTTTTAAGAGGTCGCTCAAGATTTTTAAAAATTTCCAATATAATCTGAATTTATTTTCTATTTTTTTCTCGTTATTCTATCATATTCTAGGTTTAAAAAAATCTCGTTTTTGAAAATTTCAAATCGATATTTTAATTTCTAAAAGTCGCTCATAATTATTTTAACTTTCAAAGTAGTGTACCTAAAATGTTTTCGAGCGACCTCTAAAAATGAATATCAACGAACTAATAATTTGTTTTATTGAATTTGATAAACAAAAGAATAGAAATAAATCACGAGACACTTAAAAAATTTCTCGAGGAAAAATTTACTACCGCAGTTTTAAAAATTTAAAATTTTTTAATTTTATAAAATTTAAGTGTCTCGTGATTTATGTCTATTCTTTTGTTCATCAAATTCAATAAAAAAAATATTATTAGTTCGTTACACAGTACTTTGAAAGTTAGAATAATTATGAGTGACTTAGAAATTAAAATATCGATTTGAAATTTTCAGAATCGAGATTTTTTTCAACCTAGAATAATATGATAAAATAACGAGAAAAAAAATAGAAAAAAAAATTCAGATTATATTGGAAATTTTTTAAAATCTTGAGCGACCTCTAAAAAAATATTTTTTGAGCTGATTTTTTGAGGGGGCCTTAAAACATGACAAACTAAATATGTATTAGACACGAAAAAAAAAATAAAATTGGGCCACCATAACGCAGTTATTGGAATTCATACGAGGAATACTAACGTCGCTACGGGTGCCATCGAAATTATTTTCAACCTAGAAAATGATATAATAACGAAAAAAAAAATTCAATTTTTGACGATTTTGGAAATTTTTAAAAATCTTGAACGACCTCTAAAAAAGATTTTTTTGAGCTGATTTCTTGAGGGGGCTCTTAAAACATGATAAACTAACATATTTTCACAAGACACGAAAAAAAATATTCGTTTTTTTTTTTGGGCCACCCTAAACTGCGTGTTTAATAATTGTACGCTCGAATAAAAATGTATTTATTTTTAGTATTTCATAAAAAAGTTTGCATTGATATGTTTCTAAATTTCTAATTCATTAAATTGTCCTGCCGAATTTTCTCAAGAGGTTTGTATTTTACCGGGTTTTGGGTTGATTGGGGTTCAGTGTCGTATTTTTAAAAGTTGACAGTTTTTCTCATCTAATTGCTAGGCAACAATTTCTCATTAAACAACCCAAATTTACCCGGTAAAATACAAATCTCTTGTGCTATTATAAGTGAAAACAAAAAAAAAATAAATGATTAGAAAAAACATTCCCTTTAACATTATATTAAATTGTAGAAATAGTTTTAATTAAAGACTAAAAATCCACACTGTTTCTACTGCTAAATTTTGTTAAATTGAATAATATTAAAGAAGAATTAAAAACAGAGGTCCCAATTGAGAGCCTTGGAGCACACCTTACACCTCTGTGATCCTGTCGTTTATGAAATTTTGAAATGTAAGTAACCATCTGATATTTCTGAGACATTTTTTAAAATTCTATTTAATCTAGAAGAGGGCTATTCCAAGTACAATAAAAAGTTTGTTGATTAAATATTGTGGTAGATAAGTAGCGACTGAAAGTCGATAAGTTTACGTTTATGGACCCATATTGTTGTTCGATACGAAGACTGGAAACTGGATACAAAAATGAAGAACAAAGGAAGACTAATCTCCACACAAATAAACTTCATCCAAACACTTACCAATGAGCCTTTTGAGGTACCCGTCCGCCAACTTAAACAAGGTCATATTCGAAGTCGGCGCCTCAAATATATTCTGGATGTTGGTGAGCTGACCGCCTGCCTGTATCCTCAACTGTCGTTCAATGGCCTCGGTCTGGTTCCTTATCTTCGACACCAGAGTGTCCACCTGTTTCCCCTGATTTAAGGTCTGTATGATACCGTTGTGCAGGTCGTCGTTGCCGTAGAGGCCCAACCCCACGGCGGCGCAGCATAGCACGGAGACGATGGCTAGGGTGATCTTGAGGGCCGAAATGGACCTGGAAGCTCTCGGTTTCCGGTCGCAGCATCTGGTGAGGAGGTAGATGAGCAGGACCAGGAGGGTGAGGATGAGCCAGGCAGCGGGGATGGATCCTAGTATGCCGAGGCTCTGAAACAGCAAAAACAATAGTACATTGTTAGAAATGAGTGAAATAAGTCGTTAAGAAAAACCGTTTTTTTTGCAACTATGCTAATTTTTTTTTACCAAGTTCGCCATTTTGGATCCAGTTCAAAGAAGAAACTCAAATTAAAATTTAATTTCCTATACGGTCATATTTTTTCTTTCCAGGTAATAATTTCTGTAAATTTAACAATAGGACTTGTTTTTGGACTACAACTGGCACAAATAGTACAGTCATTGAAGCTGACAATCAGCTGTAACCTCCGAATTCTTTGAAACTGCATGGATTTGCATGAAAATTTAGAATGAGGCTCATCTTAGGCTCAAGTTCAAAAGTAACCTTGACGATTGACGCTTTTTGTTTTTTAGGGGTAAAAACTACCCCTAAGTGAAAAAAATTGAAAAAATTAAGTTTTAAGCATTTTATACACGTAAAATTAATATTTTTTCCGTTATTTGACGTTGAATACATCTATTCGAGTATTCTCCCCAAAACAAGTCCCTTTTCACTAACCACATATCGCTTTGTATAGGATGTACAACACTTTTTAAAAAACGATTGTCTTTGTTTATTTATAAGCTACATTTTTGTTCATTACACTTTTTTAAATAAAATGCATAGTTTTTGAGTTATTCGCGATAAATACTTTGAAAGTGTTTTTTTTTTCATTCAAAATTCCAAGTTTTCTATCGTGAAAAAACTATTGATTTCTAGAAAAAATTCTTCGGATATTTTTTGCTAAAAATTTGATTCACTATCGATTTCCAGCGTTATTTTTGAAAATAAGATTCTACCCCCGGGAAGGGGTGTCAACCCCCAACAGGGTGGAAGCGTCAATCGGCGCTATGTCACTAATGTTCATTGACCTTTTATCTAAGTATCTGTCAAATTTCAAGTCGATCGGTTCAGTTTCAAAGAATTCGGAGGTGAAAATCTTCCATGACTGTACTAAGAGATCTATCACTGTAGGGACGAAAGTAATTTAAGACGCCTATGTTTCAAGGACAAGCCGTGTCATTAATTATGTTTCCTAAGTGACAAAAAGACACTGATTAACCGGAATGAAAAAAACTTTTTCGTTTTAGAACAAAAAAAACAAAAAGTCGTTCATACAGCTGCTACTTATTACTTTAATTGGATAAATTGCTTCATAAAATGACTACTGAAAATTTATGTATTTCAATTTCAATTAAAATATTTTCCTTGGTCAAAAACTATAAATTGGGGTTCCCCATTATCCCGCAAGAATTATTTTTCTCATTTTATTCATACTATCCACTTGATTGGTACATTTCCATTAGCATATTATCTAAAGTAAAACACAATTATTTTTTAGCAAAGTATTAAAAAAAATCAAATATAATTCGGTATTTTTTTTTTAGGTACTATTGAAATATAGAGAAAATGTACTTAACATTATTTTTTATAGTGAAAATGCATTCTTCTTCTTTTGTCGGAAATAACTTTTCAATTATTTTTTCATTAAAGTTTGGTATTCCTCTCACCATTAATTTTTCAATAGCATTGCAGGTGTTACAATCAATTTAAACGTTTACAATTTTTAAAAAAACACAAGAAACAATACGTAAGTAACAAAATTTTATACAACATCTGAACAAATTACGTTTATTAAGAAAAAAAAACGGTGAATAGCTACAATTTGGTTACGGTCGGACAAAATAGAGCCCAAACTGCATAGTAAATATGCGCTACTCCCACTCCGTGTTACCCTTCTGCACGACGGTAACCATGACCTCCGCTGTGAACATTTTACAGATGTAGAGGCGGGCTACGAGGAGTTCACGTATTCAGAGTTTGGCAAACGAATTTAGCAAGTCGACTTCAATTGACTGCACATTACAAATTTAATTCTGAAGATTTTACTCTCTTTTTCGAAAATTTCAACAATATTTCCAAGCAGTCTCCGAAAAAATATTGTTTGATGCCTACGCAATTGCAAACTGACTTTTGCATTCTCAACATAGGACAAAAAGTAACTATTAAATGCAATTTTTTGGGCCTTTGTTCTTCTACCCTATACATTTGCGTCAAACGAAGAAATATCTGACCCAATTATGGAGCATAGGCATGTTAAACGCACTTGGGCTTATCTGATATGAGATTAATGTCCGGCTGCCACGAGAGACAAGTGCATTTCGATTTTGTTTACTAATCTTCACCGAACTCGGGTCAGCCACAGCAACACATCACGATGGATTTTTTTTGTATCGATAGACGACAAGTGAGCACCATTTGTCCGTTCATAGAAAAAACTGTTGCCAAGTTTGTAAAATAAATCAATAAACTACAACTGTCGACAAGTCATCCGTGAACAACGTCCTTTTTTATACGGTTCAAGTTACTGAAGCGTTTAATTTTAATAATAAAGTCGAACGGCTATAAAATTGTAAACAAGCGTGAAATAGGAATATTTATTTTAATCACAGTTCTTCAGAGCTGTTTATCCCATGTCTGAATTATATCATCGCCCCGGTGTTTATTCCACGTTGTGCCATGAATTCAATAAACCCATCAACGGTTTAAAACAACAGCCTCAATCGAAATAAAAGACCCGATATTGCTCCATCAAAGAGGGCTATTAAGGAACGTTTCCACGTCCCAACACAACCACCCTTTTTGTGTGCGCGAAATCTAATAGCCAACTATCTTACTCGCGCGTTTATTGCCGACGATTTCCATACCTGGGATACAGGGTGACTCAAATAAAGTCCGTGTATATTGATCGAGTACCGAATATACCCGCCATTTCGTCTCCAACAAAAGCCGCGACAATACAATTTAAATGAAAGAGAAGTTATTAATAAAAATCAATCTAAAAACACGCTTCACTTTTATAAGTACCTACTAAGAATCCATTTTATCAATACAGTCAAGTCGGATTCATTCATTATACTCTTCGCAAATTCCTAGAACACTAGTAGAGGCATTGCTTAATACCAGGGTATTCTTAGAAGTGGACAAAAAGTGTAAATGAACAGTTCTTCATTCAAGTTGTCTGTACTGTTTAAATTCGTAGGAAACTCTTGATATTTATAGAAATTTTATGGAATTTCTAGTAGAGGGTGTCTCAAATTCGATAGTATGGGCCTACTGTGAGGATACGAAAAAATTAAATAAAATGTTTCTGTATTATACAGGTTCGGAAAGTACCGATGGTCCATCTGCCGTTACGTGAGAGCTATAAAGTAGGACATAGAAATCCATGCGATAGAGAAGGATGGCTATAATGAAGGCGTCTCATAGTCATACCTTCATTATTTCTTTTATGATATTTCAATGATTGTTTTCCAAAGTAAAATTATATAAAAATTTTGTATAAACATGAAATATTTATACAAAAATTTAATCTACAGCATATTTATAATATCATCTTTCCTCAAATAGTCAATTTGTAATCAAGAATGGAAAGTTTTTTTTGTGTGCGCCAGCGAACTTGACTCACTGTAATGCTGGGAAACAATGCTAGTTGATTACATTGAGTTCTAAAATTCGTTTAACTGAAATACACAAACTTTTGAAAATAGTAGTCATAGTATAGTCTGTGAAATGATTCTGTTGGGCTGGGGTTCCTATCAATTTAAAAAACGTATTCAAAGTCAAACCCATAAAAGAAATCGACTTTACAGCTGCCGTACTGGGTAATTTTATTACATAACAATAATTTTTATGTCCAGTAACCTAATACCTTTAAAATAAAGTAAAAATAAAATATATTGGGCTCTTCACTGATAAGGGTACGTACTAGAAAGACACCGCAACAAAATTAAACATTAGTAAGTTTATTTTAACATATTTAACACAGTCCAATTTGTGTCTACCTTAATAAAAATTATAACCAAAATCAGTGGCGCCCTAAGTCTAAAGGAGAAATAAATTTTTCACCGTCGCCTTTCTGTTGCCACCTTGTAGGCGATGGCTTCTCCTCCCCCGCGTTCGCGGAGCAGGAAGAAGCCGCGGCTCCAATTGTTTGCTTCCTGTGCAGATGCCGCGCATACAGATTGCTGGATGGCTCTACGTGATGCCCTTTTGTTTGGCCACACTCGCACGTCAAGGTGGCCATGGCCCCGAACTCAGGATACGAGTACGCCACGGGACACTTTAAATGACCGGAGAGCACGTCGACGTCCCCGACCGCTTGATTTGAATGCTAAAATGTCTTATCTGTAGGGATATTCAGTTGTATGGTATTCACGCACCGTTGCTAATTATATAAATCGTTTTATAATTGTTATTAATAGCCGTTTCGCAGAAATTTAACGCTGATGTTTAATTTACAGAGAAAAAATAATCAATTTTCTGTTTTGGCATATGATTTTTCTAGTAAATTGTTCAAATTTATCGAAGTATTAATTTATAAACTTCAATAACTGTTTTTAATATTAATAATATATCGTTGAGAACGTCCATTTAGTACATAAATTGGATAAGCAACAAAAAAGATTTAGGTATTCTACTTTACTCGAAAAACGAGCCACTTTTGAATCATTCTTTATAATTTAAAATTAAAATAAGTCGAAAAATAGTTCCGGAACTATTCGTCTCACAAAAAAAAATATAGAATTTTTTTGTTAGAAATGCAATTTTAAATACAATACCATATCAAAGCCAAAAAAAATCATTGGCGTAGCAATCAGTCCGGGCTGGTGAAAATTAAATTGAACATACCATCATTTAGGGGTTATTTCTAGGTCCACAGAGATTTTTCATAATGAAAAAAATTTGCAAGAAAATTACGATATCAAACATGAAATTAGGGGTTGTCTACCCTGAAATCTCGAAGAGTTCGCTTCTCACTGATAGGCTATTGAATATAGAATTTTAAAAGGAATTATGACGTTCAAGATATTTTATTACATAAATCTTTCGAATGGCCATTTTAGATGAAAAACCCGCGGACTGCTATTAAATTAGAGGGTGGAAATTGGAGATAGGGGTGAAAATGCACCCCGTTCAGTAATTGTAGTTCGAAAACGAAGCAAAATTTCGCTATAGTTCATAGAGAATTGAATTTCCCATCGAAATGGCTTATTTAAAAAATTTAAAAGGAAAATTTTATGCAAAAAAATCGTTAATAAACAATTTTAAAAAAGTAAAAAATAAGATTTTATGTATATATTTTTTATTTTTTTGACTATAATCTTTTTTTAGTAGATATAACCGGTCAAACTTAAATATTTAGATTTTCGTCGTTTTTAACATAATTATAATTCTTTACTTTTACAACAAATTGGTTCTTTACTTAATACAAATTTATTTCAAGTTTTATTTGTTAATAATAAATACAAATTTTCAGAATATAGTCAAATAAGTAAAAAAAAAAATCAAAAAATCTTATATTTTGCTTTATTTAAGTTGTTTCTTAACGATTTTTTGCATAAAATTTTTTTAAATTTTTTAAATAAGCCATTTCAATGCGAAATTCAATTCTCTACAAAATTTTTCCTATGAACTATACCGAAATTTTGCTTCGTTTTCGTGCTATATTTAAAAAACTGCAAAAGTGCATTTTCACCCCTATCTTCAATTTCAACCCTCTAATTTAATAGCACTCCGCGGTTTTTTCATTTTTAATGACCCTTCGAACAAGTCATGTGATGAAAATCCTTGAACGTCTTATTTCCTTCCTTTTTTGCAAAAAAAAAAAGAATCAAAACGTAGGTGTAAGGGTAAATGTGACGAAAATCGAAAAATTCGTTAATTGTAAGTTTGAGCAGCCATATATCAGTCAATTTTCATCCAAAACTACTTTACAACCTCTTATTTTGACGGAAATTTTACCTACTTTTTTTATGAAGCAATGCCTATACCCATCTTACTCAAAAAAACTGGAGGCAAAAAATTTAAAAAAATCAAAATATCGAATTTTTTGCTTTTTTTCAAATTGTTTATTAACGATTTTCTTACATAAAATTTTCCTATTAAATTTTTTAAATCAGCCATTGCGAAATTCAATTCTCTAAATAATTTTTCCTATGAACTATAGCGAAATTTTGCTTCATTTTTGAGCTACAATTAAAAAACTGAAAGGGGTGCATTTTCAACCGTATCTCCAATTTCCACCCTCTAATTTAGTAGCATTCCACGGTTTTTTCATCTAAAATGACCCTTTGAACGATATATGCAATAAAATTGCTTGAACGTCATAGTTCCTTTTAACCCTGTTTTTTGGATATAATCAATGAGGTGATATTGAAAAAAGAAGAACACTTTTTCATTGCCTCTATCGAATACATTGAAGGTGAATTTTTCGAGACAAAACGTCTGAATCTGGTTCGGGCCGAGACAATAGGCTTGCAAAAAATGTAATAAAATTTCCAGGGTCGTATTTAAAAATTTTAAGTTGATGATGGTTGTGGAGACACGAAACGTTACATATAGAAATTGATGCCATTCGATAGAGGGCAAACTTCTTTTTTCAATATCACCTCAAACAAGGCTGAAATTAAACAAAAACGGATTTCCAAAATTCCGGTTTTTTTCAAACATTTCGAAAACTAATCTTGTTAGCCTTGATTTTTTAGAGGCATAATGTTGGTCCCCTGATTACGCAACTTTGCCCCCCTATTTCGTATCTCTTTCTCTTTTCCGAGATGCCTGTAGTGAGAAGCGAATTTGTAAGAGCCTGTATATTTGCAAAATATTGTTTTTTGTAATCAACCATATACAGGGTGTCCCAGAATAACGTGTACAACGGAAGACCACAGATTCTTGGACTCAAAATAGGCAGATTTAGGCTAATTCACCTATATCCAAAATCGCTTCGATCGTCCGCTAGATAGCCTCAAAGTTCATGAATTTTTTTTGAATTTTGTAAATAACTCGAATACGTATTATTCGATTTTGATTATTTTTGGGGTGTGAACTTTTGCTTTCAATCTACAAATTTTGATGTTATACAGAGTGTTTTTTAAAACTGTATATTGACGATATATTTTTTATTTTTCTCAAAATGTTCTTTTTTAATAAAGTGACAGCACTATAAACTTCGAAAAATAGAAAATTAGTACATATCAGATTCAAATTCAAATATGTCACAAAGAAAATTTAGTTTTAATGGAAGTTAAAAAAAACGCCAATTTGCATCTATCAGTTGATTATATAAAATACATATATTTTGCAGAAACGTGCAATCCCTTTCGACTAGGTCGGCAACCCTTATTTTAATTTTTTAATTCGCAAATTCCGTTCGTTGAAAGTTCTTTATGTGGGCATAGAAATTATACCTTAAAAGACGATATGACACATTATTAATGATCATTTTAATTTTCAGCAGCCGTCCACTGCATCTTTAACGTTTTTAAGCGGTTCCTAACTATAAAAAAATTAAAAATTCCTACATTAATGATTTTCTGCTTTGGGTTTTTCGTAATTACATTGTGTATTTATATTTAAACGTGTATTTCCATAAAAAAATTACTACAAATAATTATTTTTGTTACACTAATAGAATTGGAGTTATTTTCGACTTATTTAATCAAGTACGTCGTAGACTTATTTTAAATTAAAATAAAATAAAAAAATATCTTCCATCGGTCATTAAAGACAGCGCACACCGTAGTACCCGAAAGGAAGCATCCACTCACCTCCAAATAGACGGGATTGTGCGGCTCGAAGGAGTTGTTCACCTGGTGGAAGGTGACGTTGAGGTGGGGCAGCGAATGCAGCAGCCACGCCAGGAACGGGTAGCTGTACGCATCCTCGGAGGAGACGCCCATACCAGCGGAGTCTCCCGGGGCTATCGACCCGAGCGTCAAGTCACACCATCTTCAACGGCGATGAGATAGCCTTCACGATGATCCGCCAAAAATTGCTGAAACAAGAGACGGTCGTCAGACCACGAAACGTCCGGATCTTTAAATCTAGTAGTCGTGTGGTATAACAAACGCTAGACGGTGCAGTGCCGTAGTTGGGAGGGGGCCAGGATCAGTCCAGTCCGTCCTGGAACAAGTTATTTCTAATAATTCGTTTCCTAGAATATTTGGTCTCAAATTGGCCTTCTAATGATATAATTCGATTTTTGGGCCACCTAGAATTAGCCTCAAACTAATTTGGAAAATAATTTAGTTAAAACAGATTGCTTTTGTACGACTTAGAGACGTGTTATTTTAAAGTCACCATGTTTTTTTTCATAACACTGTGGATGAACCGCCGGCTATTAAAAAAATATTCAACAGTGATTAAATTATTAAAATTATTTACATTCATAATTTATTAAATTAATTCAAGTTCAAAAAACTTGAATAATACAAAATTAATAAAAATACTTCATAATCTGATGAAATATTTTTTTAAAATCATTTCAACATTTTAAAAACAGTTGTGATACTATTTTCAGTGTGAATGACCTTTGACATTGAAATAGTTTAGCCGAACTATACTACGGTCACTACAGTAGGCAAGAAAGATAAAAACAGGTATTAAAATATTTTTATTTTCTTATTATTCCGCCACTTCATCAGCAGAATATAGAATATTTCGTCGTAAATTCAACCAAATGTCCAATGGTGGACTCTGCACAGTTTGAATTTAAGCAGAATCCCATCTTGATCCGAATTTTACGAAGGGCAAATATCTCGGGAACGGTCCTAGGACGTCAAGAAAGTATACCTTTTTTATGTAAGTGATAGAAATTTATGAACTATAAAAGTTCTGAGAGGTGGCGTAAGTGGCGCCCTATAGAATGTATGGCAAAGTTATTAGAAAATTCGAATTATTCATGTCAAAAAACCCCGGGATACCAAATTTCGTTTAAATTCAATTATTTCGAAGGTTATTTGAAAAAATTGAAAATAAAATTTTGATTCTGACATTCTGTGACTCGGTTACTATCAACTTTTGACCTAAGGTAAGTTTGTCACATTATCATGACGTCACAAATCACCTGTTACTCTGTGTACGGGACACCCCGTATATGATCTTATTTGTGCTGTTAATTTGTCAAAAAAATAACAAAAAAAATGTGTATACAGCTATACAAGAACATTTCAATAATTAAAAAACTAGTTATTTTTAAGACTGAGCTACAGATTATTTTAAAATCCAATTATCTGAAATATTCCAAAAACTATTCCCGAAATATGTGAAGCTTTGACTCATATAGTAAAACCAACTCCCATTTATTTTATTTTTGGTTTTATTTAACAACAAATACAAATATTTTTTTTGAATAGGTAATATCTAGTAGTAATATTTTCTAATAAGTAAAGCGCGGGGTTTTCATCGGCTAATCATAGGCGTGTTCGTCGTAAACAAATAAATAAACAAGTAGGTATAGATAAAAATAAATACATTTTGGGTACTTTATCAACGAAAGGTCGTTTTTTACCCCTTAGCGAGTTCGACACTATTAGAATATTATAAAACACGTATACATGAAGTAAACGCGAAGCCAATAACTGCCGTTATTACCGGTTTCGTACGGTGCGCTGTAGCGAAAGGCCGACGCGACGGCTATGACCATCCGACCGAGTCCCGAGCTCTAGTAATAAACATGTTATTTTATCTAATAAACACGTGTTAACATAATAAATCATATGGACAGTAAAATGATCTATAACAGCGCCATTAACACACATTTATTAATAACTTTACGCCAATAAAACCTTTTTAAGTTTATTTATAATACCCATTATCATAACATTTGAGCAGAATTTGATTTTATAACGTCCATAAAGAATTGGGTTCGCAAGTATCCGAAAATATTCCTCAGTGCTCAATTTTTTGTTTACTTGACACTCCAAATACAAAAACAACAAATCTAGCATGCGAATAAAACACGTAGGGAATTAATTTAATTTAATTTAATTTCGTTTTTGTCGTGTATAGACCTCTTTGTAAATGGGAAATGCCGTGACAGCATTGTACCGCACCCATCCCATTTAATTTGTTTTTTAAATGTAATTAATAGAAAGAACTATGAGACTGTTTCACCGCATGTTGAGGATTCCGAAAACGAGACAAAAATTTAAATAAAGTATGTACAGGACCCCAAAGTTTGCGTCTCGGACAGACAAACGAAAAACGACAGTAAAAATCTGTTTAGATGGCGTAAATCGGTACTCACTAAGGTCCGTTTGGAAAGTAAAAAAAATGAAGTCATCAATTTTTTTTCCACGAACATACCCATTTTCTATGATAACTAAAATTATCTTTTTTTATGAACATTTTTTGTGCAAAAATTTTTTCTATCTCTTCTCCTTAAAAAGTTACAATAACAAACATTATACAAAAATGTATCCTATTGTATTGGAATTAGTCATGATTTAATCAACATTGCTGTGAAAACAATGGCTGAAACTGCTGTCTAAGTCTGTCTACATATTAGTTTCTGTCAAACGCTATTTCTTGCATGATAAACAAACTAGTAAGTGGTTGCTAACAATCAAAAAATGTTTACAAACAATGAAAAAGTTTACATGATTTTAATTTATGGTGAATGTCAAAAAAATGCCAGAAGAGCTGCTAATTTATATCATGAGAGATATCCAGAGTGTCGAGCTGTTAACCCAAAAATATTTGCCATATTCGAATATATTTTGCGTGCTAACGAAAAGAAACGAACATTACTGGCCACTGAAAATCCACACTATATTCAAAATCAGGGCCATTATGGAATAAATGTTTGGTGTGGCATTAATTGGCCCATACTTTTATGAAAATGTATTGAACGCTAATAACTATTTACAGTTTTTGCAAGAGGAGCTTGCAGCACTGCTTGATAATGTGCCGCTGCAGCTCAGGACGAATATGTGGTTGCAACACGATGGTGCTCCTCCACATAAAGCTAAAAGAATTAGAGACTATTTAAAAAATATTTTCGGAACTAAGTGGATTGGAGTTAATGGGCCTGTAGAATGGGCTTCAAAGTCTCCAGACTTAACGCCCCTAGACTATTTTCTATGGAGAACATTAAAAAATCAAGTATATAAAACAACCACAAGAAATTTGGAGCATTTAAAGTAAAAGATTCAACATGTTTGTGAGAATCTTTCAAGAGAAACGTTGTTTAAAGCTACAAGGGAAGTTAGAAAAAGATTGGATAAATGCTAGAATCCTGGCACGTGCTCCTAATTAGTAAGACACGCGGTATATTATTCATACAACGCAGATCGTCACACACAGTATATTGTCAGTTCTTCAAGCGCTACCAGAAAAATTCCTTCACAGGATGTAGGACGGACCCGCAAACGATTGTCGGTGGTGTTATCGAAGTTTTATCGGATGTTGAACTTTGGTGAAGAGACAACAACGGTCCTATTTAAAAAAATATAATACAATCAGTAAGCAGGAGGATTATAGATTATGTCCAGGTTAGTGTGAGCAAGATTTGAAAATATTTATATTTTCGGAAAAAAATTGACTGCAACGCCATGTTATAATTGTACTAGCTAAGTCATACCCGATTTTAGTTAATGCAAGTATCGATGAAAAGTTAGAGTGTTTGTTTTTTTTAGACTAAATAAAATGTGGTTTCAAAATCTTCATCTGCGATTTCTTAAAATTTCTACAAAAAAAAATATAGACAGAAACAAAATACTATGTGAAGAAAAAGTTCCCTTGTGATATCTTAAAAAGTGACGGTCTCCATAAAAAATAAATAAAGAATAGTATATTGCGAGGTATATTGTTATATTAGGATTAAGTATTACTTTTGTAATTGCGAGACAAAGAAGACACTTTTAATACTAATAAAACATGCTATTTTTTCTCCAACCGAAATCCCCCATTTAATTATTAATTTGCGCTTTGAAATTATTCATACCAAATTCGGATAATAAAGCAAAGTAGGCCAGTAGGATATATCGATGTAGTCATGGATACTTTGTCAAACATTAGTCGGCATATTGTTAATTGAGTTCATTTGTGATTGTTTGTGGTTCAATTTGCTGAAAACTCTGTGGAATCTAATGAAGATTTAAGTGTGTAAGGAGATACTGGAGTGTGCGGAAGAGGTTTCCTTGAACCTTCTCCCAAAGAAATCTCGAGAAATTTATGATTGTGTCTATCAACGTTTTATGGATTGGTTGTCATTTCTGATTTCACAACATCTGAAAATAATATAACTATTAACGAAAACGTGTTGAGAATTGCTCCAAGAAAAAGGGTAGTGGCAGTTTCCATGGTTTATTTAATTTTAATAATTGTATTTAATATCAATGTGGATAAACAAAAATTATTGTAAATATTGTTGAATAAACTTTTATACATTAAAACTTGATCAACACTTTTAATACTTAGATTAAAAGTGTCAACTTTAGCTCCTAGGATTAAAAGTGAATACTTTTGTTGCTAAGATACCATTTTTTTTTCTCAGTAAGCAAAATGTCTACCTTAGAGACTTCTAACAGTGAAAAAATGTCATAGTTATGAGATGGTTGGAGGAAAAAATTGTTTTTGAAGGCTCGTATTTTTTAAAGAGAGCATTTTGGTTTTGAGATATATTTATTAAGTTATTTTAAGAGTAAACTAGTTCATGTTTTGCTGAGTTTAGTAGATGTCGAAAGTGTCATCTTAAATTTAATCTTTCTGCATTCCTTCCTGTATTATTTACATCTTTTTTATTTATATTTCTCCTCTGATTAAAGAGAAAAACAATCTGTACGTGTATATATGTTTACCTATTATATTATTGTAATTATAATGTAGTTCTCCCCTAATTTTCGTTAAACATATTTTTACTGCATTTCCGCCCCCACAGAGCCTCGCCCGGGAACAAGCGCGAGATTTCTGCTAAAGCTAAGTAAGTGAAACGTAACCGGTGGTGACCAGATAGACAAACCACAGCGTAAAAACCCGAAAAATCATTGTACC